TCACACTAACCAAAACTACCGAAACAGGAAATAAAGCACTAGAAATGTCATTCGGACCACAACAAACAAAACAGCAGCCACTGTTAGCTATCAAGGCACACAATGATATGTTTGTAATTTGTAATATTATTCAGCTATATATTCTATATAGCTATGGCTATATGTATATTCATTATTCGGCTATAAAGGCTATGTCTAAGGGGCTAGGTTTATCCGAAATACATCCGTATACTTTTAAAACAAGAAAAATAATGACAAAATAAAATATGCAATATTTTTGTCTGTGAGTGAATAAATAAAGGGAAATAAAGGAAATAAGGGAATTATTAGATACGTTTTCTTCGTAGATGCAAAAGAGAAAATTATTGAAAGTAAAGGGATTTTTACTATAGAGCGTGTTGGCTTTCAAGTTATCTGAGCAGCTATTTTCACTTATCGTTTAGCCACTCTTTATGAACCTGGAGGTTGTTATCACGAATAAGATAACCAATATACCTTTCTTAGCTCCATTATTGATATTCTACCTTTTTTAGCCATAGTGATTGTTAGAATTCCTGGTTCATTGGTCCTTAATAATTTATTTCAAGCATTTCATCTAATATTTATTGAAAACAGTTTGTATTTGAATTGTATTTATTCTTTACATTTTTTTTACTATTGAAAATACTTTACGTTGTTACAAAGCCACTAATTTAATTACTAGAATTTGTGAAATTTGACTCTTGATCTCAAAATAGTGCCATGGTGACGATATTCCGAATTCTTTTTTAAACTTAAATTTTGGTATTACCATTAACTTTCGACATTTTGGTTATTCTGAACAAATTCCCTTTAAAACATAATATTTGTAGTAATATAGTTCCCAAAAACTAACAATTTATGATTTCAAAATTGACTCCATGGTTATTGTGTAACGTTCTCTAAATTTGAAGGATTGTTTCCTTGAAATGTTTATATTTGAAATAATTCTGCTTTCCTAGAGGTTCTAATAACCCGTTTTTCATTATTATGTCAATAAAACTTGCCTGACCTTTGCGCAATGTTGATTTTCCCATGTCAATAATAATGTAAATAATCTTTTCTTAAAATATATTGAACTATTCAAAACGTTATGCATTGTTCATTTTTTAAACGTTTCATTATTTAAGAATAGAAAATAAAACTCACCGAACGATACAACTTAGCAGGAATTATAATCAAATCTAGTTTTCCGTTTTGAACCTGCCAACCAAAATTCATGCAGTAAAATCGATTCAAAGACAACAGGTTCCTTTTATCTAATAAATTTCTAGTATCTCTGTATTGTATAACAATAAAAAAGAACGTACCGATAGATATTTGTATAATAGGCCTTTGGTATTATTTTCAAAATGTGAAAGGACGAGGCACCAAAATACTACAAATTCCACCACCAAAACGGGGTTACTTACCCTTGCCGAATCAATAAGGGACCACTTCACATATAATAACCCATTGTTTTCACTCGCTTATCTTCGCGCACGGTTTGTACTACAATTGTACTAAATATAACTTGAGCAACAGTCTGTGTTAGAGTATAAAGAAAATTATCAGTGTTAGCTGTGGACCGGACATTATAGGGCGGGCGGGGTTGTTTTCTCAAACAATTGACAATCACATGCGGAAGGGAGCGGGAAGTGGCGCCACCTAGCGGTTGGCCGCGAAAGGACCGCTGAAATTGAAAGTTTCAGGCGTATTGATTCTGTCGGTTACGGTTTTCAAAGTAGGACTTTGCGTGTGCGACACCTCATCTGTACCGGTGTGTCAAGATGTTCTGATATTGCGTGGTGATTGCGGCGGATGTAGAATGACTCATTTTCTTTAATGAAGTACGTAGCGAAAAGAGAATTGATAATTTTTTTTTATTCAATATTGGTGTAATTTTGTTTCAGGTTAAGGAAGCGGAACGTTCTGTTTACAAAGACATTCCCGTTTCACAAATCGTTTACTCACATATTACATTGTTTGACTTTTGTATTACAAACTGACACTTTAATTGTTTTTAGGGTTTGGGGAAGTTTTTCAAAATCTTAGAAATTAAAAAAGAACATCAATTTGTATTGAAAGATATTGTGTGTCCGTGTGTTTATTGATAAAACGTATTTTAAGTAATCAAAACCGCTGAAATTAACAATAATCAGAGTTGAAAACTTATTGAAAATCGCTGGAACAGAAAAGAGGTTAATAGTTGTTGTAGCCGTTGATAGCGCGTTGTTAGAATTTTTCTCATTTTTGTAGTCAACAAGTAAATTGCTAGTTGGATTTTAGTTTATAGTTTTACTTTTAAGTAAATTTTATCATAACTTTTTTTCAGTGTCAGTCATAATAAGTTAAACTATTATAATTTTTTTAAGGTGAAAAAACCATATAAATGTAAAAGTGAATTGGTTGATGTTGAATTTTATAATTATCGGAAAGCTCATTTAGTTGAGCTCTATACTGAACTAGCATCCACCAATTGGTATTGTCTGCAAAATTATTCTGATATCAACGAAGCCTTTTGTAATTTTTATGACAAACTCTTTTCCTAATTGATAAATATGTCCCTGCATCTACAATAAAAGGTAGAAACTATCCACCTTGGTTTACTCAGAATATTATTAAAAGTATTAAATTAAAGCATAAACCTTTGCGTGATTATAAAATATTTTATGATCCACTAGCTCGCCAGGAATTTGAATTTTTACGAACTTATATAAAAAATGAAATTAAATGTAAATATCTGAATTATTGTCGTAACATTGAGAACAGTATTAAAATCAATCCCAATAAATTCTGTATTACCAAGATAATTCTTATGAAGGTACTGGTGAAGTGGTTGAGATGTATGCTCAGTACTGTAGTAGTACTTTTATTAAGTCCAGTTTTGTTTCTGTTAACTCATTAACGGATACAGGCACTGCATTGTTTCGACTGAATCAGTTCACAGAGGCAGAGGTGATTTCAGCCTTAAAAAAATCAAACCCAAAAATACTATGGGCCCAGATAAAATCCCTGCATTTGTACTTAATGATTGTGCCTACGTTTTAGCTATACTTCTTGCCATTTTGTTTAATTTGTCTATTAGATGTAATACTTATCCTAGTGTATTAAAAAACTCTAAAAGTAATTCCTGTTTATAAACAAGGTGGTCATTTGCAAAGAATCGAATAAATGAATATCAACGTGGTTTTTTAAGGGCAGATCCACCACCTCCAACCTTCTGTGTATAACTCAATATATCTCAGGTGTTTTTGATTCGAATTCGCAAGTAGATGTAATATACACCGATTTCACAAAGGCTTTTGATCGGCTTGATCATGGTATTTTTTTGACTAAATTAAATAATTTCGGTTTCTCAAAGGACTTACTACACTTCTTTTTATTTTATTTATTAAATCGACATGTATTTATTGAATATCATGGCCGGCTGTCGATAGAATTTGTAGCTACTTCTGGTGTACCTCAAGGATCGGTTCTTGGTCCTCTTTTCTTTAATATGTTCATTAATGATATTGTGGTTGGAACTGATGTTAATTGTTTATTATATGCTGATGACATGAAGCTCTATACTATAGTATAAGTAGCGGAAATGACTGTTTAAATTTACAATCTGCTTTAAATAAAATTGTTTTATGGTGCAATATTAATAACTTACAGCTTAGTATTAAAAAGTGTTATGTCATGACTTCTCTCTCAAACAGCAATCGATTGTATTTGATTACGGTATTGATAATACTATTCTTACCAGGCCACATACCATCCCTGATTTAGGTGTAATATTTGATGGTAAATTGTCTTTTTCGTACCATATTAATATGATTACGAACGAAAGGTTTAAAATGCTAGGTTTTGTACTACTACTAAGGATTTTAATGATTCCTCTACTTTTAAATTGTTATATTCAGCTTTTGTTAGATCTAAATTAGAGTATTCTTGCATTGTGTGGTCACCCTACTATAATATTTACATAACTAATATAGAAAGAGTTCAGAGACGTTTCTTAAAGGCTGCAATTTTTAGAGAGGATGGCAATTATCCACCTATTGGTATCCCTCAATTTAAATAGATCTTCAATAGACCTTTTAAATAGATTTTCATTTCGCAGTTTAGAGGAACGCAGAACGATTGCGCAATTGATATTTTTATATAAGTTATTAATTAATTAATTCATTTTCATATACCTAGATTATCATCTCGTTTTTCTTCATTGTTTTATTTACCTATGTCAAGGATTAATATTCAAAAATACTCTCCTCTTTTTCAAATGTGTGATAAATATAATCTGCTTCAAAATCAGTTTGATATTTTAAATTGTAATATAGCCATAATTAAAAAAGTTTCATTTACAAATTAAATTATATTTGTTTTTTTCATTTATATTGGTTTGTCTAATTTTTTTTGTATTGTTACTTATCTCATATCATGTAGTGTATGATGTAGTTTTCTGTTTGTACCTACCCTGCAATTGGAATTTCTGTAGGGTAGTGTCTTGTCTAAATAAATAAATAAATAACTAGACATCGGAAACTTTGTGACGACATTCAAATAAATAAACAGTAGTAATTTATATTAATGCTAATAAGCGATGTAGTAACAGAAATAGTCTAAATCTGTGTGTTTAAGCCGTGTTCCGCTCTATGCTCACAATAGACAATGCTACTGACAGCCATAAACACACGTGCCATACACTCGACCAAGCAAAACGTCAAAATTATTCACCCACAAACGACAATGGAATGCGCAGCCAACGTTCTTGAAATTGATGGATGCGAAGCTTCATATCAAAGGCAGGCATGAATATGTTATTGTACAATGACGCGGATAGTTAGATTACTAAAATGTGAAATAGTTGATGTTTCCCTTCCAATCTCTAGTTATAAATTAAAATGTCATTTTATTTTGAAAAAAATAGAGCTATAAACTTGTACGTTGTCAAGGTCCCCAAAGTAATCTAATTCCCAAAATTGTAATCCGACATGCGGTAGAGAAAAACAAACGAATTACATATAAATAGTAGCATCTTATTAATTTAATTTAAATTTAATATAAAAGTAGGTAACAATTCACTGGTAACTTCTGAAAGTTATGCGGTACTGGCCTGAGCAGCTATCCAAGTCTCGACAGTAGTTTTGTAACTGGCCAACCATCTAATGTTGTTCTCCACGGTTTCGAGAGCTTTCGCGCGATTCGCAGTGCCGGCGCCGGCGTCTGGGTATAGCGCAAAGAATTCTTGCATCTAAAAGAATATACGTTATTATTCGACTTATAACAATGAAGTAATAATAATGATGAAGTACCTCTGTCAACCTCTCTTGTGTGGCGAAACTTGATGTAATAGTGGGTATGAACGATCCCAAATATCTGTTGTTCAAAGTGAATCTTTCCACTAAGTATTCCCAGTTTGCCCTGTAACGTAAAATTGCGTTGTGTGGTTGTTTTAAACACGTCAATGAACATACCTGACCCAATCCCATACAAGGGAGGTGCCAGCAGTGTTTGTGGATATGTATCCCATTACGGTCCAGTAGTCCTGACTGCGGACAATGCTTTCGTTTTTGCATAATTCGATCATCCTAAAAAAAATGGAGCTAGTATTTCGTCTATGTTTAACAGTGCTTCTTAATTCATTTTTACATTATCAAAAGACAGGGACGTACTTATAAGTATTATTGTTATTAAGGTTGTTCATATAAAATTCTACCTTTATTTTTTTTGCCTTTCTGTCTAGGAAAAAATTATAACGACGGAAGGTTTAGGAGTTTAGAGGATTACATAAAAAACAATTGAGTGTTGCAGGGTTAGCAAATAGAACAAAATGCTATGTAAATCACGAAAGCAAATATATGGCACGTATACAGGGTGTCATAGAAATAAGTGCCAACATTTCAATCAGTCATTAAAAGCAACAACATTTACCTAATACATTTTTTTAAAATTAATTTCTATTCAGCGTTTTATACCCATTAAAATAACCCTAATGAGCAAAAAGACAAATATACACAGGGTGTTTGTAAATAAGTAATATTATATTAATATTTTAGAGGGTCGTTGCCGAAGTTATTTTGTGAAAAAAAGTTCATATAAACATAGGTCGAAATATGCTTCGTTTCCGATTGTTAATTATTTCAGAGTTTTAAAGATATTGACTCGAAATTTGAAAACGCTTTGGAGGGATAAATGTGCATTTTTGGGGTTGATCCGAATATGTCTACTTGCACCAGTGGCGTTCGTGCGAGAATGCCACAAACTTTTTTAATAAAAAAAATGGTATGCCACTGACTATTTTCAGTTTGATATTTTTTTTTTAGAAATCCATCATCAATTCTGAATGAAATTGGTCTCGTCTATTTTTTTCTTAGGATACACCGTTCTTGAGGAAAATAAAACATTATTTTATTGTCAGTTGTGTAATTTTAATTTCTATTGATACATTATCTAGTATCTTGCTGTCAATATTTCTAAGTAAAATACTATGAAATTTCGAGTCAATATCTTTGAAACTCCTTGAAATAATTAATAAAAATAAACTAAAAAATTAAAATTTAAACACTGTCTCGGAAACGAAGCATATTTCGACCTACGTTTATATGAACTTTTTTTCACAAAATAACTTCGGCAACCACTCCCTAAAATATTTCGCACTTATTTACAAATACCCTGTAGATTATCTCATATAAAAACACACTTTTGATTTATATCTGTGAAATGTTACATTCTGTTTTTTATATATTTGTTTGAGATAGCAAATTTTATGAAGTTTTAGTCTTTCATTTTTTATTCTAGATAAAAGGAAAATAAAGTGGATAGATTGTTCTACGAATAATCATGTACAGAGTAATTCGTTATAAGTGACATCTCCTATTTTTGTAATGTAGGAAATTTTTTAGATTTTCTACAACCTAGATTGTTATGATAACTGGTTAATGCTTATCGAAATGGAACCATCCACCAAATCCATCCATCCATCTCTATTTTCCTTATTATTACAGAAAAACGTTTTCTTCAAATATATAAAAGTACCCTGGGTATTTCATTTAAAAAAGCTCTTGTTAGAAAATTTTAAATACAGGGTCGAAAAGTCCCCATGGTTCATCTGCCGTTACGTGAGAGCGATAAAGTCATAGAAATCCGTACGATAGAGAAAGATGGCTATAATCACCGCCCATTTCGCCCTTCCACAAATAAGAAGTGGATCTTATTTGTGGAAGGGCGAAATGGGCGGTGACTATTAGACGCCTTCATTATAGCCATCTTTCTCTATCGCACGGATTTCTATGAGTTTCTTTATCGCTCTCACGTAACGGCCGATGAACCATGAGGACTTTCCGACCCTGTATATGAAAGATATAATTTTTATTCTCATAATTGACTCCGTTTAAGTATCTTCCAATATTTTTTTAAAAACTTATATATAACCTCCCTACCTGCTAAGTAAAGTAGTGTTATCCACATTAGCCAGTCCATAGACTAGCTTTAGTTTTTCAGAAGCGTCGCTTTCCGCTTCATATATACTCAATAATTTTTCCCAAGTTTCTTCATTTTCATTTTTTATACCTTCAAAAACCATTATTTCAGAATAATTACCTACAGTTTGTATAGTGATTTTTTACTTACCGTATCTGTAAACAAGGGTTCTTAAATCTTGTGAAAGTGATGTCCCATTATTTATCCAAGCGTTGAATTGGGTTTGGACTTCTGACAGACAATCTGAATGTCCCACTGCGCAAGACAGAGTCAAAACCTGGACGCGAGCTAGTCTAGAAGAACATTGGTTATTTTAAGAGGGCTCTATAGCAATAGGCAACCAGCAATATATTTATATAGATTTTATTACACAGTTTGTCTAAATATGATTTAAACCACACATAACAGACTTTCTCCCATTTTAACGCAGATTTTCTATAAAGTGGACTTAGTTTCAAACTCAAATAACCTTTTGCTGTAAAGAAATTTGTAATTTGCCGCTTTTAAATAAACGGCATCGTAAGTTACAAATTTCTTTACAACAAAATGTTATTTGAGTTTCAAACTAAGTCCACTTTATAGAAAAACTGCGTTAGAATGGAGGAAATTTTGTTATTTGTGCATTAATTCATAGTTAGACAAACTGAGTAATAAAATCTATAAAAATGTATCGCTGGTTGCCTATTTGATAGAGAGCCCTCTTAAGCTCATTCGAAAAAATTGTGTTAGGATTATTTACCTTCTTAAGTGACTGTCATCCTCACTTTCAATCCACGTGAAATTGTGATAAGCGGTATCAACTATATTTTGGACATATGTCTAAAAAAAGCAGTACATTAATATTACAGAAACAATAATTTAAAGTTAATTGATATAAGAGAGTAATAGTGCCTTGTTGCTTACTTTCAGTGTTTCGGCTTGAGCCGATTCTGATCCAGTAAGGTATTTTAAAATGCTTTGCAACTTAGAGGAAGCCACACTCCAAGGGGGATACTCGATTTCGTTCACTATGTTCTTCGTTAGCTCCAACGGGACCTCGTAAGACAGCAGACCGGCCTCCGCTATACTGAAGGATTCTTCCACCAGGTGGGTCCTATCGGAAACGCTCAAGGAGTCGTATATGCTGATCAAACTATTCCAAATGTCGACCGGATAGTTTACCCTGTAGTAGCCGATTTGGTCGTAGTTGAATTTGAGCCAAGTGGCTCCCTCCGGCCTCTGGATCGTCACTGTAATAAGAAATACGTCAATTACGACTCGCCATTTGCCTTTCTAACAAGAATTATAACTGATAAAAGACCAGTTTTGTACAATTTTACAGTGTGTAACTTTAAGTGGGAGTCCGTTTTTTACCGACCTGAAATTATTTTTTTAATTCTAAGTTGTATCCGTGTAAAATTTAAAACAAGTTATATAAAACTGTAAACAAAATACGATATGTTTCTATTCTTTTTTTTATTCAGACACTTCAGCCAATCGGTGCTAGACAGATGAAATTAATCCAAAATAAACATATAACAAAAAAAATTTAACCGTGAACAATTTCAATTTAAGCAGAATGCAATCCTGTTCCGAACGCTTACAAAGCGCAACGGGGGTTATCCTTCGCTGTTCGGTAAATATTCCGTATTGCCGCTTCTGAAAAGCCGCTAATGTCAGTTGACTTCACACCTGGCATGATATGACGGGATGGTAAAAGGGTAAAAAAAACAAACTTGTCACGTTAACTTGGCGAAATAAAAATGGCCGAATACGCCATCACCGCTTCATTCTGTTACAATTTTATTTTGTTTTGTGTGGTATTAAGAAATAGTGTATATATGGCTAGAGCCTACATTCCAGTTAGGAGAAAGGGATACTGTTGCAAGAAGACGATATCAGATGGATTATCCCAACCTATAGGTACCGAATAAGAAAGTGTTTGTAAGACTGGTTCAACATTTAAGAGATTATGGAGGTTTTGAGCAACAATAGGCTAATGTTGGACGGAAACAAACTGAGAGAGTCAGAATCAAACATTTTAAATGCTGTGGAAGAGGATCTCGGTACCAGTACTCGAAGATTAGCCTTCAAGTATGTCATATGCTGTGGAAATCAGGTAGTAAACATATTATTTTATTTATTATCATTTGTATACTACTGTTTGAGTTTTTTGTTAGATTACCTGTTGGGTATGTTTCATAGTTCATCTAATTTAAAAGAATTAAGTTAAGTTAAGAATTAATTAAAATCGTTTATGGAAATTTTCTTTTTAATAACTTTTCCTTTAAATTGTGAGATTTTACAAGTGTGCATGACCTACGACTAACGCGTTCCTTTTTTTGGGGTTACACCAGCTTGTTCAGCTGCGGGGTATGAAAATTACTAAGAAATGCTAAAAAAATTAATTTTTCACTGTGGAATTTGAGAAAGCAAAGTTATGAAAGGTATTTTCAAAGTACAAAGACAGCTTTCTTTTAAATATGACCCCCATTGAAAGATACATTCTGTATATTCTCATATTGATTTGATTAGTCATAAATAAATGCTTAAAATCATGCTAATGAATGACTCTTCTGAGGCTTTCAATAATTTTATTTGTATTATATGTATCGTATCTCTTTCATAGTAGGCACTTTAATTAGTTTATTTGTTTAATTATGTTATGTTTTATTATTACTGTTATCGTTTCTTTTTTTACTATGTGTATGGTATAATTTTTTATTGCCTGAATTGTTGCACTGATTTACTGAGTTTTTTTATTTTAAATAAGATTTACATACATAAATGTTTCATTATTTCGCAATTGGGAATTGTTCCTGTTGGATAATAAGTTAAATAAATAAACAATACTTTGTTAACTTACAGCTTTCATCGTCGTGTTGGAAAAGAATCAGTTCTGTCGATTGTCCCAAATCTGTGACGTAGGTAACAGGGATTGTCCACTTATAACTGTAAATCAAAAATTATGAAACATATGATCGCCACAAGACTTTCACAACGTACCCGTAACTTGATTCCGTGCTGTCGTATGTAGCATCAGGATCTTTCAAAAACCTCTTCTGCGTAAGGGTGTAGTTATCTCCATTTACACTAACCGTTAGAACTGGATAACCCATTTGTACGGTGAACGTATCCATCATTTGGGCAACGTCCAATGTGCTTCCAACCACCTCCTGAATTTCAGTCAAGAAATTGCTAGTTACAGCGTTGGAATAGGCGTATTTGTTCAAGTAGTTTGTCACGCCAAGTTGGAAATTCTCTTCCCCGACGGTATTCTCAAGCATTCTCAGTATGGAAGCACCCTAGGTCAAAATACGAATGAGATTCTTCTTGAAGAAAGCAAGGGCTACGTACGTACCTTGTTGTACGAGATGGTGTCGAAAATTTCCGTAATTTGATCTGGAGTTAGGACGGTTTGAACTATTGGATGTGAACTCAGGGTGGCGTCCAAAGATAACACCGTATGTAGCTCGGACACCAAAAATTGATCAAGCTGAAAAGTAAAATCTGTATTAGAATACAACATTGTAATTGAAAACTGAGCCATATCAAGTTAAATTATCATCTGATTTATTACCATTCCCCAAGTTGGTTCAGCTGCGAGCACACCTTTGTATTCGATGTAACTGGCAAATCCTTCGTTTAGCCAAAGATCGTTCCACCAGTCCATCGTGACTAAAGGAACAACATATTGGTAGAATAAATGAAAAATCTCGGGTTTATTAAATTTTACCTAGATTTCCAAACCAGCTGTGAGCAAGTTCATGAGCAACCACAGTAGCTACCCTTTGTTTGTTAGAAGATGAATGTGTGTCGCTGGTGTACAACAGGGCAGTTTCCCTGTAGGTCACAAGACCCCAGTGCTCCATGGCCCCGGATACAAAATCAGGAATGGCCACCATATCTGAGAAAATATGATACAATTATTATCCAAAACAACTAAAACAAGACGGAAGGCAGAGAGAGGACTTAGGCCTAATCCAGATCTACAAACAATGTTTACAATAACCAAACATTAACGTTTACATCTGTTTACATGTAAACAGAAGTAGTCTGTCTACATTAGAAAATATTATTCATTTGATAGTGGTTTCTTAGCTAGGAATCTTTGACCTGGCCTTGTTGTTCTCAGGCTAAGTCGCTATGGATATAAGAGTTCCTCAGACAATGGTCTTCTTTGAGACGTTCCGCAGCGATTTCTGTAACTTATCCTATCCAATGCTTTCAAACGTTTCGCCTTTCTTCACTATTGACATCTGCAGTACTGATTCTGACCGTTTGCGACCCCATCACCGGTGTCGTTGCGCGCATCTAAACCTGCCCAGTACAGTAGTGGGAGTTAAGTGTGAGGTCCCGCTTGCAGTGCCGATGACGTGAGGTCAGCTGCGTACGCTAGTTGTGGACAGTGGGGTAGAGGGTGTGGCCTCTCCGGTATCTCTGCGCGTGGCAGCACGTCTGCGCAGTAGGATGGTGGGTGTGGACTTACGTTCTTCTACACTGTATCGCCGGAGCCGTTGCATATGCTTTCAAGCGTGCACAGTGGTGTATCATGCATTTTCCTTTCACGCCGTTGCTTGTTCAGAAGAAGTTATTCAGGTTCTACTCATCAGAAGGCGATACGATTCATATTATTGGGATGTTATTGAAAATAAACGATAATGCTAGATTCCGAAATTTTCTTAAAATCGCTTTTACGCCCATTTATGCACATACAAAACATAACATTTAGAATCAAAATACTCTGAATTTGAAACTCACCTAATTTTGGCAGCGGATAAGACATGTTGAAATAATTGACGTAATATTCGATAGCCTTTTTCCCTACTTCCCCCGCGTATGTGGTTTTGTTGAGATTTTCGGGGCTTGCGTAAACTTTGAGAGGGACCGACGTTCCCATATTGTCGAAAGACGTTTCCGTGTTCGTAAAGTCCGAAACGATGAAGCACGAGAGGTATGTGGACATCTCCACCGTCTCGTCGAAAGTGACCAGTTCATTATTGTCATCGTAGTCTTCTGTTCTCTGTTAATAAAAAAGTAATGATTAAATATTCTTTATTCCACCGGAACAAATCATCAACTGCTTGCTTTAAACGGTGAAATAATCGGGGAGGAGATCCGGAAAATTAATAAATTAAAATTGTTATCTCCTGAATCCTGGTCAGCAGATGAGAAGTTCAAAAAATCATAGAATTCAAGGTTTCTATCACCTTTGAAATTAATACAGTAATACCTTGAGTAGAAAACGATGATACAATGCAAGGTTATCTCATAAATATGCAAAATACATAATAAAAACTGTACAGTTTATGTACAGCTAAAAATATATTTGTATTAGCGCTGATCAAGTTAATTGGAATACAAATAAATGTTGCCTTATCAGAATAAATGGTACATGTAATCTAGAATAAATAAAATAAGTTTTGCAGACATATTTTTGAATTTATATTGCTAATATTCAATCAGCGTTAATAATCGGTTAAAAGTAATACTTACAGCTACTGGATAATTCGAGAGAGCGATGTAGCTTGCATCCTTTGGTTTGAGCAGGTGGACTATGTATTTGGCTTTCAAATTTGGTTCGTCGAAGCAAGGAAATGCCTGTCTTGCATAGGTAGGTTCGAATTTCGATGTTGCTATTTGCCTATAAACAAAGAGCAGTTAGCTAATTATAAAATCGTATTTATCACTTTTAATTCCTGCATTTTTTGCGATACAATTAACCAGAGTTATTTCAATTGTGCTAGTAATAACTCTTTCGGCAATAATTTCTGTTTTAGTGTCTGGCAATGGTAGAAAAGCGGCGACAAGTTACTTTGCTAATGTGTTGGGTAAATGTATGCCGCACCATTTAATTATACAAGTTGCAAAATTTAATCGTAAAATTAGCGGTTGCTCTATATTTCCCTGTTACAGTTGAAATACATTTAAATTTAATACACTTTCAAATACGTTGAATTTCCATATTGAACACGGCTTTCATAGTTTTCACTTTTATTCGCTACATAATAAACGAGGAATTCTAGAAATTGCGAGTGTCTATATCACAGTGCATTTTCTGATTTAGTCTTTGACTTCTAACAACAATATGCAAATTATGAGGATAAATCCATACTCCATATAATGTAATGCTTACAACATTTTCACTTTATCAAAAAATTGGGTCGAATTAACGGTTTAAGATTTAACAGTTAATATAACGATCTGTAGGAACATCGAGCATTATTTTTGTTTGGTATTATATTTCCATAATGTAATAATATTTTCCCGACTATTTACAGCTTTTAAATATTGTTGACCCTAACCTTTTAGGTATTTTAAAATGTAAATCAAGAATTGAATGTAAAAACAACTTCGTTTAATCTCGGTCAAGTATAATGTGCTCATTTTATAAATTATATTCATGTTTATAAACATTGGATGATTGAGGAAGTTGTGTCCGCATTGTTTTTAAGGCATAAATATAATTTTTGAAAACTATATTTTTTAAATTAAATTAAATTTAATATTGTAAATTATTTATCACCATAAGTTCTTCCTCCTGTTGCAATTAGTTTAATAATGAAAATAATATCTATTCATTTACAAGAAATTCTTACTGGAAATAATTGAAAAATTTTAAAATCTAGGTCTTTAAAAATTATAAAAAAATTTAGACTAGACCAACTCGAGAATGTAAATTTCGGAAATTCTACCGGATTTGACATGGCACGTCGATTTAGGTCTTTGAAATATGTTTTTTGATGAATTGAATGAATGCGAGAGCAAATCAAATCGAATTATACTGGGTGTTTCAAAAAAGTACCACACATTCGGGGGCTAGAAAAAATAATAAAAAAATTTCTAAAAGACATGAGCCTATTGTCTTCAGTATTTGAGATACAAAGCTACAAAGACAATTTATTAAAATTAAATTTGGTCACATCTTTTCTAACAAACACCATAATGCATTGAAAGTTCTTGAGAATGTTAAAAACGTTGGCATAATTATTTCTTGATCTTCTGCTAGAGGTCGCTAGCTACGACCTTTCCTAGCGATATTTTATTATACAGGGTATTTCTGAAATAAATGCGCTCCTTGAAAAGGGTGATAGCTGGCACGAAAATGAGCAACTTTTATTATGCAACTGATGACCTAAATGATTATGTTTTCGAGAAAATTAATTAATAAAATTTTCCGTAAATGTAAACCGACCCTGTGCATCTTGTGCACGTGCGCTGAGTTGTTGTATTATTATTTAGCGTATAAAAACTAACAGTACCGTGTGTCGTGTACTACGGGTACAATTATTACACCCCTATCATGTTCAGGCATTAAATAATACTGATTTCCAGCCTCGTGTGGGATTTTGCCAGTGGTTTCGACATCAAATAACACATGATCCGGATTTTTCTAGAGACATCATACTAAATTTTCACAACATTCACTATTGGTGTGATGTAAATCTTCACGTTGGACAGAGATCTCGGTTACAGCTACGGTTTTCAGTGAATGTGTGGTGTGCTGTTTTTGGTGACAGAATTTTGATCGTCGTTTGGAAGCATGTTGAACATGAACCACATGAAAACAACTTTGAATAATTTTTGTGGAGCATATCGTCTATTGGTAAGTAATTTGTTCCTTCGTTTAGTTTATGTCTTACTTTTAAACAAGATTTGAATAAATTTTTCAACACAAAATTTAAACAGCTGGCTAGGGATGGCTTTATATTTGTTTAAACCTGCATGTGAAGACCTTCTGTAGTTTATACAGTAGAAGCCTATTGATTTTGGGATAGTTGATTTTGTTTTTCTTAAGAGCAAGCATAATATTTGTTTTATATACAATGAGATTTTACGTTATATTATATGACAAAAAAAGTTATAAAATGTAGCTTGCTTAGGTAATACCTGGTGACCTCTAGTAGATGGTCAAAAACTAACAACACTGACACATTTAGCACCTTAAAAAACTTCTATCTCTACTAAATTTCAATGCATAATGCTGTTGTTTTTTTGGCAAAGAGGAAGGTGATTAATGTTTTATATAAAAAACTTCTTTCAGCTCAAAAACAAAAGACGATATAGTCCATAGGAAAGAATTGTCTTATTGTTTGATGTTCGCTCAGCGTCTGAATTTGTGGTATGATTTCCAAAAACACCCTGTATAATGTTCTGGAAATATTACTGCGAAAAAACGACTCCTTCATTACTTTTGAGAGCATCATTTTGGATTTGTCCCCTATGGACTTTTACTTTTGGGGTTTTATAAAACAAAGAGTTTATAAAACAGACCAAGAAATTTCGATGATCTAATGAATTGCATAAGACATTTTTAAATTTAAGAAGACGATTGGAAAGATGTTCGACCGGAAGGATGTTTGGTGGAGAAAACTAAAATTTAATTTAGATTAACGTTTTGCAATTTTTTATTTAACAAGTTAGTATTTATAATTCATTATATTTTTGTACGTTAGTTATTATTTTTACTGTGGCCGCAATAAAAAGTGTTAAATTTATAGTGTCTGATTTTATCTTTGTCCGATTGGTACTTGTTTTCACTCTCATGACAATCTTTGACCTGCTTATTATAATTTTTGATTGTATGTTTTTCGAAGTTTGGCACTCCATAAAAAAAACACTCAGTAGACATTTGTTGATCAAATTTGGTACATAAGTATTTTGAATAGTTGAATAGCCCGGTAATATTATCTTTTTGATAAAAAATTGCTAGTACCACTTTCAGGAAAAACGACCATTTTAAAAAATCGTAGGAGGCCAAACTTTTGTTGCATCAATAAAATGGTTAGTAGAATATAAACTCCATTCAAGGTACTAATTGTAAAAAAATTGGCTTGCAGAAGGTCCACAGCCTTCTCATATGAAAAATGGGACACACTGTACGTAATCTAATCCTTATTTCTTGAATAGTTGACATACTCTTACTTAAATTTTGGAAGCGCAAATGTAAATTTTGAATGATTACAACATTTCGTTGGCAAAAATTAAAATGGATTATGTCACCTGCATTAACAAATTTTTGTATTAATTTGTAATGCAAACTTTAAGCAGCGACCGTGTCGGATATAAAAACCACTAGGTACATAACGAAACAAATAACAAGACATCACTTCCCACCGTTGTGCTAATTTATATTTTCACCGAATCGTCACGCCTCTACAACTCTAACAACAAATTACCTCGCCGCTCCTCCAGACCGTCCGTATTCGCTCCTGTAAAAACCCGTCAACCTGTCCTTCAGACCACCCTCGAACCCTATAAACAAGTGGTACACGTCCGGAAGGATCTTCTCCCTGGTGGTGATGATCAGTACCTGGTCCTCTTCCACTTCGTTCACACTTATAACTCTCAATTCCGTCGCATCACTCCGGACGAGGTTGATTTCGTTGATCGTCAGGTTGCTGCTGTGTATAACTAGGTCTTTCCTGAACCCGGAAACGTTGATGGTTATATTGACCCATCCTTCGAACTTGCCCGCGGCCAAGTCAGGAAGAAGCGTTAAATCGTACAGTACCGGCTTCGTGTCTCTCGGCAGTCTCTGGTACCTCGGCTGGGGCACGAGCAGCCTGTCGACAGGCGCTGACGGCGAGTTCCTCGGAACGTACCGCACCGGGGGCTGATTGTAGAGGATGTGCCGCCCCACGAAGACGAGGGCGGTGATCAAACACGCGCAAATCACCAAGAGACACAGACAGCAGCTGAGTAAAACGGCGACGGTCTTGCTGGGTTTCTTTCGCGGCGTGTCACTTGCACACAGAGACATGACTCAGTTTGTCGCGAAATCGGTTAGCATTTCGCGTAGGTTTCTAGCCGACTCACGTGGATGGGTGAATGCTTAGATATTACGACAGGTGCTGGAGAGGGAAAAGCCTTCTTTCGTTCCACGAGGCGATCTACGATACCTTCTAATTCCACCGCAACTATTGAACATCGCCTGCTCATAGCGGTAATTTTATAGATCGGTTGCGTTTGAAATATCTAGTAAACAAAGATACGATAATTTTTTGTTTTAATAAACAAACGTACAGTAAGTGTAAAGTACGGGGTGTCGATTAAGTACGTCGATAAACTTTAAGGAATGATTATTTGGTTTGGATATGACAATAAAATCATCACTTAAAGAATAAGACAGAATGAATGAAATAATGTTATTTTATTAAGTGTTCAAATTAGTTTTCTTCATCATCCATACAATAATAAATTCTTTACTCCACTTCGGAACGAATATTTCGAAACGCAGCATCTGAGGAAATTGAATGTTTGGGCAGATATACCACCTCATAGGGCCTTTCTTCCTACCGGGAAATCTGAATGGAAACATGTATTTGAATCTACTCGAAACGAATATCTATCCGATGATTGTGAAAGTATTGCAAAATGACAACGTTTTACCAGAAGAGCATGTGTGGTTTCAGTAGGATGGGCAGAGGTTCAATTGAGTGGCCACCCAGATTGCTCGATTTAACGCCCTTAGACTTCTTTCTATGGGTACACTTAAAGTCGAAAACTTATGCATCACGACCGAATTCACTTGAGGAGCTTCGTCGGCGAATTATTGAAGAATGTCGTCAGATAACGCCCGAAATGTTTCGAAATGTTCCTTCGGAAGTGGAGCAAATATTTTATTATTGTGTGGAAGCGGAGGGTAACCAATTTGAACATTTAATAAAACAACATTCTTTCATTCATTGATATTTATCTCATTCCTTAAGTGGTGATTTTATAGTCATATCCAAACCAAAATTTAAAAAGTCGTATGTCGTCGTGAGCGGAATTCAAAAAGCTTTAAAATGAGGTGTCATTTAAAATTTAAGGGTATAATACGCCCCTGCCTGAGGTGTAGCTTCCATTTGTCCCTCTTGAAAAGAAAATCGACGTGTCTCAGTTTTTTTAATTTCGATTTTTCCAGGTGGGAAGTTTTAATTGGAACCCTTTGTATATTCATAACGCCCTAGAGTGTTCTTTCTAATTTAATCTATCTTAAAATAAAGGGATTTTTATAAATCAATAGCCTTGCACCATATTAAACATGTTTATGTAAATGGATACAGATTCATTCTAACAAGTGCAAGTGCAAGTGCAACCAAAAACTGTTCTTTTCCATAATCCAACATTATACTTTTTTTCATTTCTTTTTCCAGTGTAGATTTTTGAATTCTAGAAAAATAATTTTATCTACAATTTTATTTTTTTTATACAATATGAAAAAAATCTCAACAATTTCAGATAAATGAAAATAAATAGAGGACATTTTTTGTTTCATTTGTATTTTCTCAGTCATTTTCGAGTTATTTAAAAAGTACGTTTTGGTAGGACGCATTTATCACCCTGTAACTTTTTTCCTAAGTAATTTCAGATTCAGATTTCAGATTACTCTTATCTTCTTTCAAAAAGCACTATAGATTTTTACTTATGAAAAAACTTCACTCAATTACGTTTTCAAAAGTGTATCCTTGAGTTATACGGTACGAAAACCCGTTCCTGGAAGTATTAAAAATATCTTGGTATAAAGATTACTTCTCTCGATAAGAATTTATAAAGAACGATAATGATTTTAAACCTAAAACGTTTAAAGGTAAAAGCTCAAATAATCTTTCATTAAGGTCCTCATTATTAATTAATTCTCTGTCTGTTTCTTATCTACTAGACGAACAAACGATTTTACTTTTTTATATATAATTCCACATGCAAATATTATTATTTTACATTTACTTGCTTAGTCCTACATATAATATTGTTTACTTTTATTTACAAGTACGTGAAAATAATTCTTAAAATGTAGGGTTAGGATAACAGCAAACGCATATTTTACAAAGGTTTTTTTTAGTTATTATTTTATTTGAGTAAATTTAAATAGTAACAATGAATAAACAGAACATTAAAGATTTTATTTTTGTGATTACTTTTGTTCTACACGCTTTACTTTTCAAGATTTCAGTACCTAAAAACGCCACGAATTTAACTATTTTTCGGCGAGGGTTATGGTCTCCTTAAAACAACATTTTGTTAATAGCTGTGATGAGATAGAGTACACTTTTTAATTTATTCATCAAAAGTCTCTTGCTCTCTTATACCACAGATTTGAGGGGACATGTCCCCGAAGTTTATTGTACTATTTTTTACACCCTGTATAATAATTCACATCAAAAGCTTCATGATGGTATTGTCATGGAAATCTAAGTCGGATTGTAATGTTAAAAACAATTTTCATTTTTAATTGGTTTAAAGCAAAATCATTTAAAAATGTTATAGGACTAGGTACCAATAATGATTTTTTAAGTAAACTCATGTCCACATATGTAGAGTGAGAAATTACCTTTATTTCAGTTTTAAAACTCTAAACCTGACATTCTGCTCTCTGTTACATAAGTCTGGACAATGTAGGATACGGTTAACCTTACTACTTCTTTCAAAGCAAAGTTGTCACAATTAGCAAAATTAATATGAATTGTTTCAATTTACACATAAATTGATGTAGGTTTTTAATTCGAATGCTACCATTATAATCTTGACACTTTTCCTGTGATGATGTAAATGTCATGCTTGAGTTCAGCAATTTAAATCATATACTATATAAAATTTGAGCGAAATAAATGTTCCACTAAGAAAACATTAAATTTGTAAACAATACAACTTGCTTCGCTGCTTTTTGAACCATAAATTGTTTAATTTCATAACTGTTACATAAAAAAGGCAGTGACAAAATCAATGTTACAGTAATAGCCGTGTAATATTAAATTTATTCACGTACTTGTTGTGGTATTTACCTTAACCTAAAAAGTTGGTAGCTTATATGTATTTTACATTGATCCTCATAGAACGTTGTAATTTTGCATGAAGGTATAGACACGACTTGCATAATACTGAGAAAATAACAGCCAATTTAATAGCAAAAACTTGGGCGTAACGTATTATTTGTTATGGATACTGCTTTACGAATTATTACTTTCTCTTGCTGTTTACATTTAAATCTCGTTTATACTGACACTTCTCAGAATGTTTTGGAGTCATTATAGTTGCTATTAAACTAAATTTTACCTGCTTTCCCCACTCTCCGTGGTATAGCTGCTAGTGTACAACCCTACAATCCTGTTCTTCATGTCGCCGTTGAAGTTAATTTCGATGGTGGCGTTTCCAACACTAAATAGACTCCCATCTGCCTTGGTGATGGTCAAAAGTTCGTAAGTGTCTTCTAGAGCAAAGTTTCCGGTTTCTGTTCCAATAGTGACGTTGTCAATGGTGAGAAGATTACTGTGGAGCACCACAGAATCTGTTTCCGAGAGGACATTTAGGGAAATAACGACTGTACCTGTTGAGGAAATTGTTATTGTTTTAGTATTAAATGAATTTTCATTTTGCGAGAAAAAGGTGTTTTTAATAATGAAATTACATAAGCGATTAAAGGCAAAAGTTTACAATTGATTTACTTCTTATCTAAATAAATTTTATGATGTTTGGATATTTTATTGATTTCATCAGATTTATTGGTATGTGCTCAATTCCATAAAACAATAATCTCATAATCTCATGTCATTTGATAATTTTTTTAATGAAAATTTAATTTCTAGAAATTGGCGTATTAAAAGTATCAGGGTAGATAATAAAAGGATTTTTTGGGGCTGACGTCTATATAAGATTTCAAAAAATTGATCTGGCAATTGAGACGGGATTTAACGATTTGATTGTAGTTACTATCGATTGATCAATTTTTCGTTCTCACAATTCAATTAAAAGAATTTAAGATGAAATAAATACAAAAACCCTGGTGAAAGTTAAAAGTGTTTCTGTTTGTCAGAATTGAAAACGACTCGACTTGACTGATGAAGTTTGAATAAATCAATTCTTCGTTAAATTACTAAAAAATCAATCAACTAAATTAAAACATAGGTTTTCATGATAATTTTTAAAAATTTTTACTGATACATTCGAATTGATTAAAATAGATTTATTCATAAATGAGCTATAAGGAAATGAAGTATAAGGTTTAGAAAATAACCAAAATGTGCGATTTTCTGAAACAACGGTGCGACGTAAAATTTTGCTTGAAACTGGAGAAAATTTTCACGGAAACGTTTCAACTTTTGAAACAAGTTTACGGAGATGATGCTTTGGGTCGTACGCCATGTTACGAATGATTTTCATGATTTAAAAGTGGTCGTCAGTCAATTGAAGATGATCCTCGACCAGGAAGGCCTTCGACTCCAACTGTTGACTCTTACGTTCAGAAATGTTTAGATCTGGTGCATGCAAGAGTTGTAGCAAAAGTTGTTTCTCGTTTGATGACCCAACAACAGAAAGAATGTGCACGTTTGTCGGCAATTCCATGAACAATTCAAAGAATCAATACGGGAGACGGTAGCTGGATTTACGACTACGACATTGAGACAAAAGTTCAATAATCACAGTGGATTGGCAAAGAATCTCCACGCCCCAAGAAAGCACGTCAGTCTCAATCCAATGTCAAAGTTCACTGTTTCGACTTTAATTGAATTGTGCATTTTGAGTTATTGCCACAAAGTGAAACAGTGAACCATGTGTACTATCGAGGCGTTTTACAACGGTTACATCAAAAAATCCGCAAAAGAGACCAAAGTTGTGGCGAGACAACTCATGGTTCTTGTTCTTGCCCCATGACAATTCGCCTGTACACTGAGCTTTGTCAGTTCGTCAGTTTTGTGTCAAAAATCAGATTACTGTCTTCCCTCAACCTCCTTACATACCAGACCTGGCTCCTTGCGAATTTTTCTTATTTCCGAAACTAAAATCAGTGCTGAAGAACGCCATTTTCAGATTATTGATGAGATCAAAGCAAATTAGTCGTAGACTTTAAATGTTATTTCAAATGAAGCTATCCAGGGCTGCTACACGAAATGGAATGACTGAATTAATTTTTATACTAGGTATAACGCTGTTTATATTGCAGCAGATATTCCTGAATTTGTATTTGTAATTTGATTGTGGTTGTTTTGCCATAGGTATTTTTAACATCGACTAGTATTAGGATTAGCATTGCGATTAATATTACATACTGATGTTAGTTCAAGATAACTCGAGTTTAATTAAAACAGACGGACTTAATCCAACACAGGAATTTATATATTTTGAATAGTATACGATAAATTTATCTGATAATTAGAATGTAGAAAATTTAATTAAAACACTCTAGAATATGTAGCAGCTTCATAAAACCTATAAAAATAATAATCAATACATTTTTAACACGTAGATACCTTTTATAATCGTTTACCTTCCATTGACTTGAAAATCGTTTCAGATTCTGTATAAAAAAACTGATGTGAATTTTAAGTAGGCAACCAAAGAAGCTTAAGTCAGTTTCATTGTTGATTCATCAAAATTTACCTTATTTTCGAATGGACTTTGCAATGTTTCACCAAAAGTATATTCGCTCTTTTGTAATGCAACTGATAAATAAAGATGTAATGGTAGGTACTTATATTGGTAAGATAATCCAAAAACGGAATATCATATCTACGAGTATATAAAGCCTGGGCCTACCTGAAAATAGTCCGGTGTCCAAGTCCGGATACAAATACAAGTCGTACACCAGCGGTTTCACTGTGGTGGGCAGTCTGTATTTGGACATATCGTCAGGAGCTTCAGTGGTGCCAGTGGTGGTAATAGCAGTGGAGGTCTCCGGGGCAGCGGTGGTCCCTGGAGCAGCAGTAGTTACACTTTTCAAATCGTCTATTTCTGACCTCAGTTCGGCGTTTTGCACGCCCAGAACGATGGTCGATATCCCAAAAGCAACGGTGGCTGCAATCAGAAAACACAACAGCTTATGGGACAGGATCCAAGCTATGAAGGAGGCCATGGTTTCGGCTAGACCACGTTCGAACCTCGTAACTGTTGGATCAGAACTGAGTGGCTCTTTTGCGATAAACAGTGAAGCTACCTTTATCTCGTATATTTCGCTTGGCGAGGGAATTTACTATGTTAATAAAATAATCTATATTTAATCCCCGTTATTGTACTTATAAGCTGAATTAGGAATATGTGGCGAGATTAAGATATACGATTTTTAAGTAATTTATGGCTCTCTCAATCACACCACAAAAATCTCTTTGCAAAACAAGGATTTATTAATAAATCAGACAATTTTATAAAAATGAGTAATATACAAGAGAAATATTTACGATAATTGTTTTATTGTGCTGAGTAAATTCGATATCGAACGGTATTTCTTTGAATTTGCTTGAAGTTCATCATTGAACAATTTATTGGGAATGCATTTATAATTTTTTTCTTGGGAGAGGAGATAAACGCATGCGGATTGTATTTATCAGTTTTCTCTAGATACCATTTTGATAATTCTTTTTTTCATAGTTGCTTTATGATCGATTAAACAACTAAATGACAAATTAACATGCTTTTGTGGTGGCATTAACTATATGTTTGATATTTTTTTTTTATAACAGACAATGTTGATAAGACAAGACGTAAATGGTTGTATCTCCCGAAATCGAACAGATTTAGATCTTAAGATTAAATAATTTGCTGTATTAGTGACAATTGCATTTTTTTAGCAAAATTCGTGTCTTTTGGGATTCCAATAAAGGTTAGTCATACATGGAAAGGAATGTAGAACATAAATATTAGGACATAAATATATTAAATACTTAATTCAGCCTGAAATAAATAGACATTATAGGAATGTAATTTTGAATGTGAAAAATGTATAATGGGAGTTACTAACGTGGAATAAATTCCGTACACGCGAACATAAAATTGCTAGAAAATACTAGAGATACGTCGATCGATAACTAATTATGAGTTGCATACTTTTTTATCGAATAAAAATATGTACATTAGGGTGGGTCAAAAAAATCGACTATTTTTTTTACTTTATACTCTGAAAAAGAGGTTGCTAGACACCTCTAGAAAAGTCTCTCCAAATATGAGCTCTTAATTTTAATAGGAAGGTTCTCCGCTTTACAGTTTTCCATTTTTTCCTCAGTATTAGAAAAAAAAATCTCTCTATCAACAATAGAAAAACTTTTTAATAACAAATTGAACAATTTTTTTTAAGATTAATACTTTTCATAAAAAAATTCTGACAAAAAACGTTATTTTTTCAGGATTTAATGAATCATTGACTCAGTCAGAAATAATGCACTAATTTTTTTTCGATGTAACCCAACATGTTTACACGACTAAAAAAAAAACTAGAAATATAGTTTAAAACATTTCTCTGTTCATAGAAATTCAAATTTGTATAAATTTCCCTGAAACTTATAAATTAAATTGAAATTTTCCGAATTACTAATCAAAAAACTGTTAAAATTGGAGTGCATTGAAGTTTGACGATGAATATCTTTTAAACGCTTTATTTAATCGACTAATCATAAGAGACCATTTTTGTAGAGCAGTTAATTTCCTACAAAACTATGAATTGCGTATTTCCTAATGATTCTTTGTTAACGAGTTATAAAATTCATAAGCAAAACAGAAATTTGTCTTAAAATAATCAAACTTCAACCTTTAATATCTTTTAAATGGTGAGGTTTACGAAAAAATTGTAAGAGACCTTTTTTGTAGAGCGTTCAATTTCCTACAAGTATATGAGCAACCTATTTTTCAAAGTATAAAGTAAAAAAAATACTCAATTTTTTTAAAGATAATGTAACTGCATAAAGCACATTTTTTTAATTACAACAATGGTAACTTTACGGATATTTGCCTCTAAAAAAATCACGATGACGTCTATCTCTTAGTGGGAACAGATTTCGACGTTCTCAGTATATTTTTTAAACGATTTTGTGTTTGATATACCGAATTTATTCCAATTAATAAACAAAACAAATGGTTTTCCATAAGGTTGTTGAATCTCTTAAAAATTTAGCTACTATTTTTCAGTTACAAAGTTAAATTCGTATAAAGCCGTCACAAGTTTATTTGTGTGGACGCAATCTTTTTTTAAAATCACGTATCATGTCATACTTACAGAACAAAAGATTATATCTTTTGTCTGACTCTCAGAATAAGTGTACAATTTACCTTGAATTCGATAAGTAAATAAATGACATGCAGATTTGTATTTACTCTATTTATATGAATTAAAAACATTAAATTATGAATAAAAAGTGTCTTGAGTCTTTACATGTACTCCACTGTTCTTATCGCAAAAAGCTTTGATGATAGGAAAAAATGTTATTATTAAAGGGTGTCCCAAAATTCACGGATGAAGTAATTTTGATAGAAAACACAGGTTTTTAATCAAAAATTTTTATTGAATTATCAAGTACACGTATAGGGTTATGTATGGAATAGTATATCGGGTAAATGGTCTTCACAGCTTTGTTGGCACATACACACTCTTTCAAAATTTTCCTTAACCGTTTTGCATAAATGCGGCTGAATTTTCTTGATACAGTGCTCAATTTTCTCCTTCAAAGAGTGGGTGCTCGTGGACTTGTTGGCATAAACCTTAGGACTTCAAAAAAACCCCAAAGAAAAGAGTCGAACGGAGTTAAATCGCGTGATTTTTGCGGTTAATTCTGACCACCAAAACGGGAAATTACACGACCAGGAAATAGTTCATGCAGCAATTGAATTGTCTCTCGGGCAATTGAACTTTGTAAGCAACAAGATGCAAATCCTTCATGAGAATACGCTATAGAGAGCTTGTAATGTCCAATTCTTCCGAATTTTCAATCAATCTCTTCACAACTGATGAAGTTAAGTCACCATTCCGACATTATTTTCTACGAAAATTGCGAACTGAGGCTTTGCTCAACAATTGAAACGCTTTTTTCTTTTGAGTAGCGCTTCGATTTTAATAATCTTGAACTGTCAGCTGTCGCACAGCGCACTGTCTTTTTTTTCATTGGCAACACTTCACCGCACAAATGGCGCAAAATTCAAATCTTGCGCGAATTTTGGGACACCCAATATATTACAAATTTCAAATAAAAGTAATCAATTAATAAGATATAGAGCTTATTATTTAACACTTACGTGGAAAATATTTATACTGAGGGTAGTTCTTTAGTAATGCCAATTTAGTACCATGGTAGGGTAAACGTGTACGACCATGGGTAGAAGCGTATCTCGAAATGAATTTGAGTCCTACAAAAACACTTATAATATTTGGGTCATCCAGACATACATATGGTAAGTAGATGTAATAATCTATTAAATATTATTGAGTAGATAGCGTTTTGATATTTATTTTTTTATTTGAATATATATTTTTTATGTTTATAAACATAATTTTTTTAAATAATTATGTATGACCATGGGGACATGTAGCTATTCATCTTTACATACGTGGATTCGCAAGTTTTTCAAAGAGACTCATTTTAATATATTCTTTTGTTACGTGAATAATGATGAATGAAACACACGCCCTCTTTGTCATACAGTACTTAGAGAATGAATATGTGTAAGTAGTACACCACGTACCAACCTAAGAAACATTGACGTGAACTGATCATTTTATCTGCTTGATAAATCAATTTTGTACGGCATAATTTTCTTTTTATTGACTGAAATTAACACAAATTAAAACATTAATTTTACGAAGTAAAGCACAAGGAAATATTAATAAAGTACTTACTTTAATTTTTAGGTTAATTTAAATACTACACTGATGAGTTTTTTTTGACAATGATCAGCTGATAGATGAGCAGCTGGGTTGGTAGTAACAACTTCAGCGATACTAAAAAAAGAGTAGGGATTTTGCATCGTTTTCAAACTCGTTGGGTTTGAGTTTTTCATTTTCGTTGTTTGTTGACATAAAATTGAAGTTTGAAATGCAAATAAAATAAATAATAATGTTTTTTTTCTGTATAAATGTAGAGGCACGGTGGTTATGCAATTTACTATACAAGTAGTGTATAGTGGGTCACATAAGCTGTGGGAGAACTTGGAAATACATACATAGACAAATAGACAATTAGTTTTGTACAAAATAATTTTTGCATTCTGTATATATTTTAAATATTAAAACTAATCACATTTATTACACTGAATTAGTCTTAGGAATGGTACCTACATAGTTTTTAAATATGATACTAAAATAAAGTATTACATTACAATTTTTTTTAATAGAAAAACGAATTAAACAAACGTGTAAAAACCAAAACTGGCAAAGAAACAACATTGAGCATAATGTAAACAGTATAAATTCTTGAACTAAACGTTCTGAACTAAGTGTTAATGCTTTACAAAAGGTAAAAATTCCTTTAATAAATTTAGCTACCTACTTAGATTACGATACGATAATAAATTTTTTACTTTTTGAAGAATGCTGGTGATTTTGTATATAGGCCGGATTGACCAACAATGTGATCAGGTAGATATTGATCCACAGTTTATTTCTTATACTCAATTTTGCGATAACAAGTTTAAACAAGTCGTAGATTCTAGAACCGTCAGAAGTAAAATCGAAAAGTTTTATGTATTAATTATTTGAACAAATTTTTTATGTCCGTAGGGATGGCCCTTCTTCAAATTCAGTAATCGCATTACAACCAGTAAATACCACATTTCGTAAATCCATTGTTTACCAAAACACTTGCCGACATAAAATATACCGCCCTAATATTAAATTGATCCTATTAAGATTTATTATTGAAAACTATGTTTCCTAGAATGTCGGAAAGGACCACCTTCCTTCCTTTTATTGAGTTATTGATGGCTTTAAAGGTGACGGTGACAATAACGCATTATCCTTTTTGTATTGGTCCTTTACACGCACAATATAAATATTTTTGTCACAAATTCATTCATTCTTCTGTCGACTAAAGAACCGATACAATGAGTGTTGTAATATTTCTGGTGTATCTTGTATTAATGTGTGACTGTTCTCCATTGTGGCCGGCCAACAACAGTTTGTACAAAGCGAACAGTATTGTTCCAATTCCTGTAAGTATCTTTTTATAATAATAAAAGTTATACGGAGTGTTTACCAACTTGAGAGGATTTTGTGTTAAATGCATGCGGTTCCAAGACAGTTTTCACGTATCATTGTGGAAAGTCAGTAGATATTAAGAAACAAAATATTCTATTTGCAAAAAAATATTCCTGCCAATCTAGTTTCCGCAACTCGACTTTATTTATTCTTCATACATCCTCTCCATCCAAGTATGCAAACAACGAAAAATATAAAATATATAAATTTTGTATCATATTTTTTAGATTGGTGTGACACCAACTGTAGCTGATAGCATAGAAAAAGGCGCTGAACTGGCTTTGGAGTTCTGCAAAAGTGTTTTCAAATGGGATAAGTGGAATTGCCCCAGGTCTTTCTTTCTTAGGTGTGTATATCTCTGATGGAATATCTAAATATAGTAATATTTTTGAATAATAAACTGTATATGTTCAAAATTCCTCTTATTTTTGTAAAATTTTCTTTCAAGGCTACCAAAACAGCAACCAAATAGAGAAACAGCGTTTTCCAAAGCCATACTCTCAGCAGGAATAGTACATAGAATAACAAGGGATTGTTCTAAAGGTGATATAACAGAATGTGGGTGCGATCCTGACATAGGGCCGCCGTCTGTACTGACTTCAAGTTCACTTAAATTACATACTTCTTCGTTGTTGTATAATTCAACTCAAAAAGTAGAGGAACATCGTAGTGGGTGGACTTGGGGAGGATGTTCAGACGATCCTAGATACGCTTTAGAGGTGTCAAAGAAATTCCTAAGTAATTTGGAAAAGGGAAATGATGCTGCTGCCTATGTTGGACGACATAATAATAACGTGGGGGCACAGGTAACACTTTGAATTCATTATTTCTGAATGGTTCGAAATTAATTTTTTGTTTTCTTAGGTCATACGGGATTCCATGGTGAAGAAATGCAGGTGTCATGGGGTGTCTGGTAGTTGTTCAGTGCAGACCTGTTGGATGCAGGTTGCTTCGTTTGGTGAAGTTACTAAAAGGCTCAGGGAAAAGTACAAGCGAGCCGAAAGGCTGTCCTATGAGACTGTTGAAGTTTCGATTACTTTGGGAAATTCTGCTAGGGAATTGGCGAAAGAAAAAGTAATACCAATAAAACGGAATAGCTTGGTATACTTGGTGCAATCCCCTGATTATTGTGTTGCAAACAAAACTGAAGGTACATTTATTTTTAGAAATCAATTCTTATTAATGAGGATTTTCTCTTAGATTTTCCAGGGACGAGGGGAAGAAAATGTTCTAGAAATGCTTCAAAACTAGCCTCACCTGCTGAGAAGAAAAGTTGCAGGACTTTGTGTAGGGGCTGCGGTTATAAAGTGAAGAAGATCAAGAAGAAAGAAACACAGACTTGTAATTGTAATTTTGTATGGTGTTGTGAGGTAAAATGCGAGACATGCGTGGTTGATGTCGAGGAATACTTTTGTTATTGAGATAGACTTTTAAACTATTTCGAACGAAAATTCAATATTAAAACTTCGTGATACTTACTAGGTGCTTTAATAAATATTTATTCCATATTTTCAGTTTAGGTTCTTATAAACTTGTATAAGAATTTGTGATTTTAAATACAATTCTCTACCATGTATTTTCGACAATTGTTTATGTAAATATAAGGAATTATTTTGTTATAATTGTATAAAGTATTATTTGTAAATAAATATGTTTCATAGGAGGTGTGTTTAACTACCTATTTCTTTAAAAGTTTTTAAAATTTATAATAAATATCTTATATTTTAAGTACCAACAATTTTAATGTACCTAGTACATAAATGATTACATTAAATATTTACTATTAATGTATACCCATAAACCTTTTTTCTGTGCTGTATGTATATATGGTGAATTATACCTACTTAATTAGATGTAGAAAAAGTAACTGAGGCTTCTTCTGGAGAAAATAGAAAAAACTAAGTTGCTTCATTACCCTCAAAATGAATTTAATTTTAATCATTTTTTTAAGATTGCTGTTTCAATGAAATTCGGTTTAATACTTACTTAAAATGTAGACATCGCTAGAGTATTTTGAAACATCTCGATATTTATCACAAAAAGGCATATTTACAATATAACGCTAAAATGCTTTCTTCATTTCAGAGAAACATGGATTCCAATTTTTTTACATCAGCTATCAGGGCATTTTTAGGTAGTTTAATTAAATTTCAACTTTTTCTAAATTTATACCTTCCATAAATATGGAACAATTTATTTCTATTTTAAAGTCAACATACAGATCTTTAATATTTGTTCTCTTATTTTATACTTTTTAAAATAATCACAGCCACACTCAAAAAAAAAGTTGGGTATACTTTTTATGCGACATATATTTTTCGTAGTAATTTGCCCTCCTGAACACGAATCAGGGGTCAGAATTGGCCCATCACGTCACAATTTTTTCCTAACCTCAAAAAACTTGTGAAAAATAGTGAAAATTGATGAAAATTTACTGGGAAAATTTGGAAAAAAATTTATTTCCTCATCAAATAGTACATTTCTATGTAAAAGACTCTGCTGAATTCAAATCCACTGTCAGAATTGAGCTAGAACGTGTGGTTTTTTTTCTAGCCTCAAAAAACCGAGCAGGAATCGCTATTTTCAAATTCTGAGCGGATTTTGACCAGATTTTGTATAAAGGGGTTTTTTGGGTCGCTGATTACGAATATGAATTCACATTGTAAAAATTCAAGATGGCTGATCCAATATGGCGGGTGTACTTTTTTGAAATCCACCGATTTCAGTAAAATTTGGCATCATAAGGATTGCTGGTTGATCTCACCTTCATTAATCACATATCTGGAGCCAGATTTTCATAAATCAAGGTAAACTTTGTAGGCAGAGTCATAATTTTAGGCCGAGTAGGCGGCATTTTTCGGCAAAGTCACATTTTTAGATTGAAGGCATAAACAGATGCAGTGATGTGCTGTGTGGCAGTAATGTGTCCTTTTCCTTGAACTTTAAAATTATTAAGAAATAAAAGCATCTAAATGCCATAGGAAAACTGCATAGTAGTTAAAAAAATCTGATTGGAAAACCATAAGCCCATGCACGACTAATTAATGAATAAAGTTGAAACTTTTTGGTCTTGTCCCATGGAAACAAGCACATCACACTACACATCATTACATGTGTAGAGTCCTTAAGTCATTTTTTTAAGCGAAGTCACATTTTTAGACGGAGTGGAATCTTATACCTTGATTTATGAAAATCTGGCTCCAGATGTGTGATTAATGAAGGTGAGATCCACTAGCAATCCTTATGATGCCAAATTTTACTGAAATCGGTGGATTTCAAAAAAGTACACCCGCCATATTGGATCAGCCATCTTGAATTTTTACAATGTGAATTCATATTCGTAATCAGCGACCCAAAAAACCCCTTTATACAAAATCTGGTCAAAATCCGCTCAGAATTTGAAAATAGCGATTCCTGCTCGGTTTTTTGAGGTTAGAAAAAAAACCACACGTTCAAGCTCAATTCTGACAGTGGATTTGAATTCAGCAGACTCTTCTACATAAAAATGTACTATTTGATGTGGAAATACATTTTTTTCCAAATTTTCCCAGTAAATTTTCATCAATTTTCACTATTTTTTACAAGTTTTTTGGGGTTAGGAAAAAATTGTGACGTGATGGGCCAATTCTGACCCCAGATTCGTGTTCAGGAGGCCAAATTATTACGAAAAATATATGTCGCATAAAAAGTATACCCAACTTTTTTTTTTGTGTGGCTGTGAATCAAATAAAATTACATAACGAGATTTTTCAAATCCTGTACTTTTTTAAAAATGTACATTTTGTTAATATCTCCTGTATTTTAATTTTATTGCAAATATATTAAACTAATTGAAATAAATAAAAAAAATCCTAAAATTTTACCACATCAGGTCAAACAATGTACTTTCATAGGAATTTCCAATAATTTTTTGAATTTATTTGAATTAGCGTTTAAAATAAAGTAAAGATATAAAAGGTAATAAAATACATATTAAGAAAAAAAAATTATTATAAGTTCAAATATTGCTTAGGTAAAAAAACTATCACTCTAATTTAGTCTCATGTCAACAATCATACATGGCTATATTTATGGTTGATCTTTGTCAAAGGTGATGTTAGAACAAGAACAAAATATAATTTTTTGAGAGATTACATTATTACAATATGTCAGGTATGTGGTTTTTGATTAATAATATTTAGATATAACAATTTTAATTTAACTATTGGTACCTAGTTGTAGTTATTTCCCGTCTACGATATTTTTTGCATGTCACATTTACGGTATCGAAAAACATTGTTTGACTTTATTTGATAGGATTTTTGGAAACATTTTTAAGTTTATTTCAATTAACTTTTAAAATAACATTTTAAAAACCATCTTAATAATTTACACATAAACAGTTCCTTTTGACTACAAAGAAATCATCTTTTTAATTACGTTGCTTCACAAAACTACGTCTCTCCTCCTCCTCCTTCTTCGATAGTTGTAATGGTCACTGTATTGATAATCCTTTGCATAGTTGGAATGTCCCATATGGTCGTTGTGGTCGACATTGATATTGTGGCTGTATAGACCACCCCCGTAATTATTACGATTGTGGATTAAAACGATGCCCCACAGCAGTATCCCAAGCTTGCCGAGGAACATGCTACTGAGCAGCATGAATTTCATCCCCATCAGTACTAGGGGCAGTATGGTGACTTGCATTATGAATGGGGTGGCTAGCATGGGTAGAATCCGCGACATGAGGCCGTCCTGTTGCTTCTTCCTGGGTTCTGTGAAACAGGATGTAGGTTTTAGTATGTCAGGTAGATATGTTAAATGTTGTAAATGACGCGAAAACATTCAAAATGCCTACGATAGGGGGTGGATACTTTTAAAATGTACAGCATTTGGATTTCTTGAATTAAAATATACAGAGTTGGCTAAATTGCCAAAAAAAGTTGCCATTTTCTTCCCATCGGAGATTATGACAGAAGAGAATTCGTATTCCGAAATTGAAAACCTGATATTTCTTTGATCTTCTATATCTGTTTTTATTGCTAAAAGTAAGTCGTAGTTTTATCATTTTATAAGCGAGAAAAATAGAAATATTGCTAAGTGCTAAGTAATTTTGAAATTTCAACTCGAACACTAAAATTGTTTAAAAAAACAAACCTGTTATCGCACATATATGTAATATATTATTTTTGCCATGTGTGGATGTTAGCAGTTTCATGTTCCCAGTCTATTGTTCTAGAAACAACTTCACAAACAAATATTTTTAAACAAATTTCATATGTAAAAATTAAAAACAGAACCAAACATTAATAGGCCCAGCAAATTAAATTTTTACTCGAAAAAAGTCCTATCCGCGAGATTATTGTAAAATTGTCTAATGGAACATAATTCAAGACATCTCTCATCTCGTGAGTCAAAAACTTTTATTAGCTAACTTTTCTATTTAAACAAATAAGTGAGGAAAACAGTTTTTTCACTTTGCAGGGAAAACCTTCAATTTTAGCGAAAAGTGACTCTCAGACAGCTTGTAGAGAGTAAAATTATCTACAAAATGAGACTTGTTAAATTAAAATCGGTTAATAAACAAAAAAGTTATTGCAAAAAAAACAAGAAAAGTGCCCATTTGTTAATTTGTTTATAACTATCGCATTTATTGTTAAAATTTTGTCATACTTTAAAAGTGTGCCAAAAGTGGGCGCCGTAAGTGCAATAATTTTCGCACAATTCAATTTGTTTATAACGGAAGCTCCAAAAGTTATGAACTTTAAGCCTCTGTACAGGCGTTAATTTTCAACCAACATGATTCTGAAAGCGTCATTGTAATCTTAAAGACGTAATTAAGCGACCTATTAAAAAATATCACCGTTTTTTTTTTGACAGTAACATTCTCAAATTGTGCATTAAAAACCTTGCGTTTTTCGCTTATAAACAATTTGAATAAAACTGTTGCTATTTATGCTACCTCACCGAAAATAGATACAATGGATAGCTGGCAAAATAATACAATTTATTTTTTAAAAGCACCCTCTACGACCAACAGGAGCCAAGATAAGAATTTTTTTCAAAAAAATCGTAGCACAATTGTTTATAAACATTAAGACTTCGCATTTTTCGCAAAATAAAATTTACGACGTAAACTACGATTCAGTTCAAGTTGATGCGCGCTGTAAAATTTTGCAATATCTCGGCTTCTATTCATCGTAGAAACTTATTTTTTTTTAAAACTGGAGTAGTCGACAAAAAAATAAGATTGGGCATATTTACGAATCCGTAGAATAGCCCTGAAAATTATTGTTAAACGAAATATTAATGAAAATTTCAATTTCGGAATTATTTTACTATTATTAAATAAATAAATGAAGCTATCGTTCATTTAAAAAGTTATTTTTTTACATATTAAGCCAAAGTAAACTTAATTTTTCAATATTTTGTTAGTTATTTAATTAAGATTTAAATGTAAAATTAAAGTAAAAATTCACAAATTATTTTCAAATTATTATTTCTCATTAAAATAGAAAAAATTTTAAATTTTAAATTGTTGTATTATATTGCATTATATCTATTATTGAAAATGGTTGTGATTAATATATTTTTAATTAATTTTGATTATGTTGCAAAGATTCATTTGATAAAGAAGAAGAAAATGATATGGAATCAAATTCACCGCCTTTCAAGAAGTTAAAATTGTAATTTTATCGACCGCATTATTTTTATTAATATTTTTTAATTGTGAGAATTTTGCAATAAATTAAAATGCTTTTTATTCTTTTTTAAATATTTTAACAATAAATAATAATTTGAAAATATTTTGTGAATTTTTACTTTAATTTTACATTTAAATCGTAATTAAATAACTAAATATTGTAAAAGTAAGTTTACTTTGGCTTAATATACATATAAAAAAAAATAACTTTTTAAATGAACTATAGCTTCATTTATTTATTTAATAATAGTAAAATAATTCCGAAATTGAAATTTTAATTAATATTTCGTTTAACAATAGTTTTTGTGACATTTTTGTAAATTAAAAAAAATTAAGTATAAAAGATGCATTTTTTTTGGGGTTCAGGGCTATTTGACGAATTCGTAAATATGCCCATTGTTATTTTTTCGTCGAGCTACCCCTGTTAAAAAAAAGAAGTTTCTACGATGAATATAAACCGAGATATTGCAAAATTTACAGCGCGCATCAATTTGAACTTCGCGCGCACGACTCGCTTGGACGAGCTTCCCCCACCACCACGCCGCCGGCCGCCGGACATTTTACTTAGCGAGTACCTTCTCTTTAAAGGGCTCGCGAGTCGTTAATTTTCCACATTTTTCAATGCAATTCACGGGAAATCGTAGTTTACGTCGTAAACTTTATTTTGCGAAAAATTCAAGTCTTAATGTTTATAAACAATTGCGTTACGATTTTTTTGAAAAAAATTCTTATCTTGGCTCCTGTTGGTGGTAGAGGGTGCTTTTTTTTAAATTTGTATTTTTTCGCCAGCTATCCATTGTATCTATTTTCGGTGAGGTAGCATAAATAGCAACAACTTTATTCAAATTGTTTATATGCGAAAAACGCACAGTTTTTTAATGCACAATTTGAGAATGTTAATGTCAAAAAACGGTGATATTTTTCAATAGGTTGTTTAATTACGTCTTTAAGATTACAATGACGCTTTCAGAATCATGTTTGTTTGAAAATTAACGCCTGTACAGAAGCTTAAAGTTCATAACTTTTGGAGCTTCCGTTATAAACAAATTGAATTGTGCGAAAACTATTGCACCTACAGCGCCCACTTTTGGCACACTTTTAAAGTATGACAAAACCCTCAACTTATCATAGGTTTTATAAAATTTTAATAATAAATGCGATAGTTATAAACAAATTAAAAAATGGGCCCTTTTCTTGTTTTTCTGCAATAACTTTTTTGTTTATTAACCGATTTTAATTTAACACGTCTTATTTTGTAGATAATTTTACTCCCTACAAGCTGTCTGAGAGTCACTTTTCGCTAAAATTGATGGTTTTCCCTGCAAAGTGAAAAAACTGTTTTCTCACTTATTTGTTTAAATACAAAAGTTAGCTAATAAAAGTGTTTGACTCACGAGATGAGAGATGTCTTGTATTATGTTTCTTTATACGATTTTACAAAAATATCGCGGATAGGACTTTTTTAGAGTTTCTCTTTTATTTTCGCTAATTTTCCTGGTGTATAATGATGTGTTTTTAGCTTGCCATTCAGTAAAACTTTAAGAGTAGAAGTAATCTGTCTACGTCCGAAATATTATTCATTCGATTTCAATATTTCAAAGTGAAGAGCTAGAGGAAAATCTTTTGGGAGAATTGATGAGTAATGATGCTGGATTCTGAAATTTTTTGAGAAATACTGGCACTTCATTCTTGATGAAAAACAAAACAAAGGTGCATTCGTATATGTAAATGTTTTTACACAAATGTTTGCAAACAGTTTTTCTACACGCTCTTGTATGTTTTTAGGCAATAGTATGTACACAGACAAAATAGCTGGCGATAAGCTATATTGTCTGGACTAGGTTTTTTTTTTATTAATATCTAACCATTGGTTTTCAGAGCACACTTTCGTATTAAAAATAAGTAGTGGTCAATTAATTCCTAGCGAAACTGTAAGTTGAACAAATAAACTCAAAAAGTTGCCATAGAAAATAAGACATTTTCAGTGTTAAAATCGTTATTGACATTAAACAATTTTCTCTATAAAGCGTACTGGTAATCCAAGACATATTCTCGAGAGACCAAATTCCATGACCTTTTTTTCAGGAATACAAATGATATGGAAGAACTAAAAAAGTTAAATTTTCAGGATGTTCAAATAACTAAGGCCAGTTACAAAACTATGTATTTGTTTTACAAATTTAGGTAAATTATGCACAATTTTATGAAGTTTTTTATCTATCTAACAAACATAAATGAACTGAATTATTATAATCTCGGAAATTATAAGAAAATGACACACTTACCTTCTTTGACCATTACTCCGGTTTCATGCACTCCAGGGACCTCAGTTGCTGAAACGGCACTTTCTACATATTCGAGACAATGAACTGCCATTAACAAGAATATGAAATTATTTAAACTCATTGTTTGTGCATCACTTGGTTGCCTTCTTCTAGTGGGTTTGTACCATTAACATAGACCAGTTGCTGTACATGTACTGATAATATAGACACATGTACTTTATCTGGTCAAATGCACACAATCATTATGCGGTTCTCATCATTCCACCGCGGTTTCTTCCGCTTTGGTATTTTCCATTAGTGGGGATGTCAAAAAGGACCGGAGGCCGTAGGTACTTAATTAACAGACCAGTCCTTTCTATTTTGGTATCAGAGAGAATAAAAACAAATTTGTTTTATGCAAAATTTATTGAGCATGCTACTGCAAAATAAAATAACATCATGCGTGTTAATCAAGGATTGGAATTACGGATCTTGTAGGAAATTACCGATGAAATAAGTATCGTGCTTATTGGATATTCGTAATAAAAAATGAGTAGTATTAATTAAATTGATTATCAAGTTAACGGTTTACTATTGCTCAGGACTGGGTTTAAGGTATTTTGAGCCCTATTTTGGTATATAAAATTTTTTATACATGTATTAATTTAAAATGTTAGTTATGCAAATTAGAAGTATAAAATAATATACAGGGTGTCCCAGATTTTATCCACGAGGATTAAGGAATCCGCTTGTGAAGTAAAAATTCTTATCTCAGTTGTAGAAAGTTGTTTTCGAGACTCCACTGTTTTTGAAGTCCAAATCATTCAAGTTAAAAAAAGTCACAAACCTGAAAAAAGTCTCATCTCAAACCAGTGACGTAAATTTGAGGTATGTATGCTGGCTACATTTTCCACATAAATTGTGCCAAGCCATTGTAAATCTATTTTTTTTTATCATTTTTGGAATGCAAATTTTGTTTCGAGCGATAATGATTTCTTGACTTTTTGGCACAGCTTTTCCCGTTTTAGTACAACTAAGTAATTCGAAAGGTGATATGTTTAGGTAAATGCAGAATTTATTTAAATGACTTTACAAACTGTGTTCAAAACAGCATCCCTTGGCAAAAATACTTTTTAATATGTCTCTTGACATATTCGCCCAATGTCTTAAACATTTTTTAAAAAGTTTAACATCTTGTTTTTTAAAAATGGGAGGTTCAAGAGCAATACCCTTCAATTTTGGCTTAATTTTTGACACGTTGTTGTGTAACATTCTGTATAATATTAAACTTATTTAAGTAAACGTATCATCTTTACAAATTGCTAATTTGTACTGAAACAGTAAAAACTACGCCAAAAAGTCTAGATATCATGTTCCGTGTAAATAAAATTTGTAATTCAAAAATGACAAAAAATATATTTATTTTCCAGTGGCTTGCCATCATTTTTGAGGAAAACATAACTAGCACACCTCATATCTACACTACTGGTTTGAGCTGAGACTAAAATTTTTCACGTTGAATGCCATTTTATTGATGACACAAAAGTTCGTCGTAGTATTTCTACTTATTCCATGAATTTTTGGCTCTTCAAAATTTTGCAAATTCCAAATTGCACAATTGTTAGAGTTTCCAGATTACGATATTTTTAATTTTGTGCCTAATTATTATCATCAAAAGAATTAATGATCCATATGTAAATACGCTATAGGGTTTTGTGGTGAGTTTGTAACAACACACAAAAAAAAGTTTTGTGCAATTGACCAGAATACATTATTCCCATGTGTTTTGAACCGCCGAACTGAAATCTGATGTCAGAATTGCCCCAGCAAAACACCAGAATTTTCTGACATCAAAAAATGCTTTAAAAAACCACAAAATTAAAATATACAGTACCAAAAAAAGTTGTCATTTTCTTGTGATCGGAGATTATGAAAGAAGAGCATTCGTATTACCTCTGAAATGTCCTCAAATATTGAAAACTTAATTTTTCTTATATCATCTTTATTGCTAGAAGTAGTATAACACATGTAAAAAGTCCTGTGGAATAAAAATATCCAATCAGAAAAAGAATTGAACATCAATTTACAAAGATATAGCAGAAGGTCTCATAATTTGTGAAAAAAGTACCTGTATTTTTTTCACAAACTTCTTCAGGATTTTTAAGTAACTGAAGTCAGTTATAAAATTACGTATTTGTTTTACAAATTTGCGCAAAGTATGTACAATTTCATGAAGATTTCTTTTTATCTAACAGGCGATCTCGGAAATTATAAGAAAATGACACACTTACCTTCTTTGGCCACAGCTCCAGGGGCGTCAGTTGCTGAAACGGCACTTTCTACATGTTCGAGACAATTAACTGTCATTAACAAGAATATGAAATTATTTAAACTCATATTTTGTGCATCACTACCAGCTATTACTTGGTTGCCTTCTTCTAGTGGGTTTGTACCATTAACATAGACCCGTTGCTGTACATGTACATACTAAAAATATGGACACATCTACTTTATCTGGTCAAATGCATACAATCGCTATGCGGTTTTCATCATTCCACCGCGGTTTCTTCCGCTTTGGTATTTTCCATTAGTGGGGATGTCAAAAAAGCCGTAGGTACTCAATTAACATACCAGTCCTTTCAAATTTGGTACCAGAAAGAATAAAAACAAATTTCTTTTGTGCAAAATATATGCGACTGCAAAATGAAATAACGTCATGCGTGTTAATCAAGTCTTGGAATTACTGACCTTGTTATAAAAAATTACCGATCAAATATCATGCATATTGGATATTCGTAATAAAAAATGAGTTATATTAATTAAATAGATTATCAAGTTAACGGTTTACTATTACTCAGGACTGGGTTTAAGGTATTTTGTGCCTTCTTTTGGTAGATGGCATTTTTTATACATCTATTAATTTAAAATGTCAGTTACGCAAATTAGAAGTTTAAAATAATGTACAGAGTGTCCCAGATTTTATCCACGAGGATCAAGGAATCCGCTTGTGAAGTAAAAATTCTTATTTCGGTTGTAGAAAGTTGTTTTCGAGGCTCCACTGTTTTTGAAATGCAAACCATTAAAGTTAAAAAAAGTCACAAACCTGAAAAAAGCTTCATCTCAAACCAGTGACGTAAATTTGAGGTAAGTGTATATGCTGGCTACATTTCCACATAAATTGTGCTAAGCCATTTTTTTAATCATTTTTGAATTACAAATTTTGTTTTAAGCGATAATGATTTCTTAACTTTTTGGCGCAAATTGCAACTTACAAATTACAACGTTTATAATTTTGTACCTAATTATTATCACCAAAATAATAATTAATGATACATATGTAAATACGCTATAGGGTTTTGTGATGAATTTGTAATAATAACACAAAAAAAGTTTTATACAAATGACCAGAATACATTATTCCCATGTGTCTTGAGTCGCTGAATTGAAATTTGATGTCAGAATTGTCCCAGCAAAACACCAGATTTCAAAAAAACCCACAAAATTCAGCATTTAAAATCTAGGTATAATTTATAAGCGGTCATATTTTTATATTCCTATGTAAATTGACCCGCTGAACACGAATCTTATGTCAGAATTCGTGGCATCCATTTAGAAACGAACAGCTTGCGTTATGTGTAGCCTTAATCATTCTAAAATTCGAGACTAGCGATTTTAAGTTATTTTTTTAGAAAATTCTGGTCAATTGCTGAGGAAATTTTTTTACATTGGATTCGGATTCACCAGATCAAAATATACGGGAATACATAGATCGGACCACGATTTCCCAAATCATACCTGGATCATTGAGGCTAATCTATTAATTTTGTGGATTTTTATGTTTTATTTAAGGTTAGGAAGGATTTGTGACCCTATGGGCCAAATATTAGTTCGGATTCGTGTTCAGCATGGGAATAATGTATTCTGGTCATTTGCACATTTTTTTTGTGGAGCAGTTTATTTGTGTCAGCACAATACTTTGAAAAGTATAACAAATTTAAATTCAATTTGGAATAAGATTAAATTTTGGTATAGGTCCCTTCTCTTTGAGCCGAACCTGGATTTACCGCCTTACACCACGCCCTGTATCCGGTAGAAAAGCAGAACCGAAGGAAATTGGAACAATATCAAGACGGGACCTAAAAAGTCAACGATCAGCTTCTTGTTTGTATGCCCCTCTCGTGTTACAAGTTCTGTGCTTCCACTGTTTACGGGACATTTCTCTCTCTGACATGTGGTGCCACGAGGTAGACTGAATCCAAAATTATTTACCTGCCTTCCTTTTATCAACGACGATGTCCCTTAGGCGGTTTGAGGCCGGTTTAGTGTTAGCGTTTTTGTTAGTTTGTCTGGATGAGGCTTTGAGTGAGCTTTCGAACAAGACAGGACACTTAGTGGTAGCACAGGATAGTGATAGAATTAGTACGATTAAATCTGTCGCGGAAAACAGGACTTTTGATGGAAATAACACTGCGTTAGAGAAGCGACGAAGTCGCGAGGGTGGCGGTGGTGCAAACGACGAGAAACATGGGACAAATAGCGTACAAGGTACTTAGCGTTTCAAATAATAATGTTATTTATGTTAATAACAAGTACATTAATTCCTATGCAACTGCACATAACTTTGAACGTTTCTTACTATAATAATTATTATAGTAATTAATGTAGAAATAATGGATATTACCTTTAATCATCTCTGTGGTGCAGCTAGAAAAAAAACTGGAAGGAATCAAAATGTAGTAAATGCAGTAACTTAAAAAAACAGGTTTCTCCTCATTATAAGATTTTGATTCAAGTAACGTATCTTACAACTCTTACAAAAATATAAAATCATGATAATATTATGGTTAATAAAAATTTCTAATATACAGGGTGTTTTGGAAAACAGTGCCGTAAATTCACGGGCTGCTAGAATATAAAAAACAAGAATATTTTGTACTAAGCACCATGGGGTTACCGTCTTTGAGATAAAGGAAATCAAAAATTATTTTCTAAAATTAAGTTTTGGCCATTTCTTTTCCAGAAAACATTATAATGCAATAAAATTTGATTCAGGTTAGTTTTTGGGCGTGCTAAATACGTTAGTGTTGTTAGTTTTTGACCAAATGCTAGACGTCGCTAGCTTAGGCTTTACGCAGTTACATTTTATGATATAACTTTTTTGTGGTTCGATTTTCTAAAGGGTATGCCGTATATTATAACGTAAAATTTGGTTTTACACAAATCACTAAAAACGCACCGTTTTTGAGACTGTCCAGAAACGAACGAGTCATATCTACGATAGCTTTCTTGAATGTAAATCTATTTAGGCAGTGGAGTTTTCAACAAGAGTATTTTTTTTGAAAAATGAATTTTTACATTGTAATATATTCTGCAGAATTTACATTAAATAAAATGTCAATGAGAGAGATCCTAGTCAACGACTTCTAGCAGCTGATATGATCAAAAACTAATAACACTAACGTATTTGGCACTCCAAAAATTTTATCCGTATCAAATTTTAATACAGTCCATAGTTTTTGAAAACGGTATGGTTAAAACTTGACTTTAAAAAATCACCTTTATTGCCCTTTATCTCATGTAGGCCTGGACAGCCTTCGTAGGTGGGCCCCATCCGTCGTCTACCCCGACCGCAAATGCGGCCGGTGTAGGCGCTTTGTGGGACCTCCTTTTGTCCTGGCTGGGCTCGTCTTATTAGTTGATGTTCTGTTAGATCCTGAATTTATGGTACGTTTTTACAAAACACCCTGTAGATTTTTTTCATACCGCGTTGTCTCATTCTTTGAAACTTTGTTGTCGATGAAACATTTGCAATAAGTAATCACACAGTACCATTATTTTTAATTTCATAATGCTCTGAACCGTAAGTAGTGATTAACGCTTTTGTGGGAAAGGATAACGTTAATTTTTTCCACTTGCCGAGCAATCATTTCTCTCGCTCTCTCTCATGAATTTTCATGATTTAAGTATTACTTTATCCAGGGCAAACGACTTCTATGCCGTATTCAATGAATCGAAATAACTACCGTGTTTGTAATTTCAATATATTTTACATTTAACTTCGTTGGTATTAAGTCGTTTCCATTTTTTTTTAGGTTCTCGAAAGAAGAAGAAAAGCAAACATCAAAAGAGCTTCATGGAAAAGATGCTTCCAATGATGATCATCCCCTTCCTGGTGTCGACATCTATGATACCGATGATGCTGATCGGACTTAAAATAATGATCTTAAAAAGTGCGTTTATAGGGAAAATAGGAATTTTACTCATGTTGCTTAACATGTTTCGACGTAGAACTAGCGGCGAAGGAGGAATTTTTACTCACAACGTCAACGCCAATGATGTGGCCATGGAACACTATGGATACCACGGAGACGAAGAGTATGGGGTCTATGTAAATTGAAGGAGGAGAAAATATATAATTGGCTATTACAGGCAGTGGTTATGTCACAGTTGTGCTGATAAATGTTTTAATTTCCAAGAGATTTTGTTGTTTATGCCAAAATGTCATTTCGGAACATTTGTGATTGTCCTAATTTTTTCTTGTTAATTGCTATTTTCATTTCAAACAATTTAAGTTAATTAAAAATAAACGGCAATCAAAGTCAAGTTTAATGGTTGGAAAAAATATGCAAACTTTTCAAAATACAGGCAAATTAGAACAACACTCTACCTCCAAATATCTCCACAAATCAAACCGGTTGGATAATCTACTAGTTTTAAGTTATTTCATCACTATGAAATGATTTTAAATTAACAAATTATCTAAGGCTATTATCTAGTGTAGTGAAAGTACAAAGTATTTAAATATTTTTATTATGTATTTATTATAATAGATGATTCTGTATGAAATTATATGGATTTTGTGTTTTTTTTTTGACCTACAAAACTTATCCTCGATCCTCCTTAATTAGATACCAAAAATATAATTCCAGTAATACACAGAAAAAAGGTTCCACATAGTTGGTTATAAATGTAAAGAGGTAAGCAGGTTAAGCCGTCGCAGAACGTGAAAATTCATTAATGTGCAAATTTTTGAGTGCTTACAATTATTAACAAATATTAAATTTAGTTCCAATAAATATTTGTGACTAATAAAAAAAACGATAATCTTTAGTGTAGGAAGAATTTATTAATTTATAAATAATTCGGAATAAATTTTTATGCTTATAAATAAATAAATAAATAAATAAATAAATAAATAAATACATAGAGAAGAAATACAGGATGTTTTGGGAAAAGATCATACATTCACGAGCGTATAAGACATATAAAAAATATAAAATAATAAATTCATGGTCCACAGGAAACAAATTCTTATTTTTATTTTGTGTTTTAATAATCCCCAAATCTGTGGTACCTTTTCCAAAACGACGAATATAACGAAAGGAAACACCAGCGTTAATTTTCGTAAAGAAATTATTGTAATATGTCAGGCTGGTCCATTTTCGGTGGGATTTCAGCGTATCTCAGAAACTACTAAAGATATGATAAATCTGACACCACGTTCTCGAGCTCGATTTTCATGTCAAACTCGAGCGAACTTCTGTCATATCAGAAATTTGCTATCGTCATTTGTTTCTGTGTTACAGGGCGTTTCTCGCCTATTGTGACACTTTTGAACATGTCTGTATCTCAGCTGTTAAATAAGGTACAGTTAAAGTTAAAACTGCTCAAGACTAATTCTTTGGCGTAGAATTGATGCCGGTATTAGATTTTTAGTAGGTCTTAAGATTCCGGAGTTACGACGCTAAGTTATATTTTTTTAAATGGAAATCGTAGCTTTTCAAGACCAAAAAAATGCAGATTTTTTTTTGCTTTTCAGCAGTATATCACATGCTATAATTATTTTTACAAACATAAGACATACGGGGTGTTTTATATATAAATTCGATCTTTTTTACATTTTAATATGGCTGGCTATGAAAATCCGTACAAAACTATAATTCTTACTTTTACAAAACTCATATCTGTTGTAAAAATATGACGTTTATTTAAAATATATATTACAGATAAGAAAATACAGTTTTCAAATTGTTATTCCACTTCAACTGAAGTTATACTATTAAACATAAATTAAACAATAGTAAGTACCTACATCAATAAAAACTTTCAAAAATGATAGCTAAATGTTCAAATTGCAGTCCTTCAACTGTCACACATTTCGCGCATATTCTGGCAACGGTTCGGGTAGCATACATTAAATGTATATTTGAAATATTATTAAAAAGAATTTTAAATATAACGTCTTTTAAAAAACCGCAAAGGAAAAAGTCCAACGGAGTTAAATCAGGTAACCTAGCTGGCCATCTGATCGGTCCGTTTGTTCCTATCCACCTGTCTCCTATAATTTCGTTAGTATTATGTTGTCATACGAGTATATGTTGTGCATTTAAAATAAACGTCATATTTTTACAACAGATATGACTTTTGTTAAAGTAAGAATTATAGTTTTATTTGTATTTTCATAGCCAGAAATATTAAAAAGGAAAAAATATATAATTTATATATAACCCGATCTCCTGTGTTTGTAAAAATAACAATAGCATGTATATATTGCTAAAAAGCAAAAAAATCTATATTTTTTTAGGTCATAATCAGCAACGATTTCCATTTAAAAAAATATAACTTTAGGTCATAACTCCGAAATATTAAGATCTACTAAAAATCTAATACCGACATTCAATTCTACGCCAAAGAATTAGTCTTGAGCAATTTTCACTTTAACATTAACTTATTTAACAGCTGAGATACAGACATGTTAAAAAATGTGACAATAACGAGAAACTCCCTGTAATTCAGAAACAAATGAAGATAGCAAATTTCTGATGTGACAGTTGAGTTTGCCATGAAAATCGAACTCGAGAACGTATTGTCAGATTTATCATATCTTTAGTAGTTTCTGAAATACCCTGAAAATACCCATCGAAAATGGACCAGCCTGTACATTGAAGTAACACATTCATCAACTGATACTTAAAAAAATTGATCTAGATATGGAAAACAAGGAATTACATATAAAATTTACTAAAATCTTAATTTGCATTATACCCTTTTCTGCCCATAATAGGCAGAAGTATAAGCGCTCAAAGGAGTGTAGACGTACTGCGGATTGTAAGCAGGATAAGTCGTGGCTTTTTCTACCTTATCCTCTTCCTTGTCACTCCTGTCCCAACCATGATGGTACCCTGCGTGATGATGGACTGGCGGCAGGTAATAAGGCACTACGTGCTTTTTGGAAGAGTCCTGCAGCCTCGCGAGGACGCTACTGAGACCAACGACTAACAACATAAACCCTATAACACCGTTGTTGACGGCTACGATGGCCACCAGGACTAGTAGGGTGAAGGCAATACCCAGTTTGAAAAATATGGCGGGTAGGATAATCATGAAACGTTTGACAGCATGGTGTACCATGGTGCGACCTGTGAAATAAATTAAAAAATACCAATGCACGGTCAAAGAACATACTTCATTACAGGTTTAAATGATTTATAACGAAAGGCTGATATTTTAGTCAAAGAACAATGTTGGCTGACCCCTGTTTTAACGTACTAAGCGGGAATACTAATATGCCCTAGGATGTGCAAAAGTAATACCTCGTTAACGGTAAACTTTTAGAAGTGGAACGAAATGTTTGCCGCATTGGTTATTAGTTGTACATAAAATATTACCAAATCCTAATAAACAAATCTTTGCCGTCTATTAATATGTAGATATGAGATATTAAATTTCAAATAAAGAATATTCAAACACTAATGATCGTAGGTCGCAGAAAGTAAAGCTATAGTCGTTAAATTAACTAAATACCTTCTTCTATCATTCTCCCAATAAACTCATCGTCTTTCACTTCAACTGAGGCATTCCTCTCATTTTCCGCACTGCAAGCGTAAATTATGGCACTAACAAGCAATAAATGCAGAAGCACTTTGTTTTCACGTCCCATTATTTCCACACTATTCTTATTCCGCTTTGTCACTCTTCGTTTCTTCCTGGCGACTGATATAATGTCCACCGCAAATTAAAAAAAGTGTTATTTGTATCCATATTAAGAGCCTTCATTGACAATGCAGTCACGTCCCCGCGATTGTGTGTAAAATTCGATCAAATTCTTCGTCTGGTATTCGTTATGCAGTTATGTCGGTTTTGATAGATGTTCGAAAACAATGAAAATGGGTCATACTGACTATAAAGTTTGGTAGCGTTTGTCTTTGCAAGTGGAACATGTGAAATCTACTTTTTTGTCGCCAAATGAATGACAAAATGTTGTGATGTGATCCTTTGATAAACGTTTTCCATTTGTAAATAATCATTACAAACTTCAGTTTTTCAGTTTCTTCTAAAAAAATGAATCTCTTAAAAAATCTACAGAAATAAGTGCCAAAATTTTAATCACATTTTAACTCATCAAAACTGTCTAACATCTTTTTTCAACATTTTACATGTTCGTCCAGTATTTTACTCTTTAAAATAACACCACAGGATAAAAAATATGTAAGTAATATATCACAGTGACGGGACTTACAACGGAACATTATCGCTATCTATACAAGCTAAGACTTGTAGACAATCCGGTCTGCCCAGGATGTGACTCGGCAGATGAAACTTCTCTCCATTTTCTGGGCGAGTGTCCAGGATTTGGGAAAACTTTTTCTGGAACCCAAGGAGCTGAGAGAAGTGTCGGCAAGGAACCTTTTGGACTTTGAAAACAGGACAAAACCACTTGCTGAATAAGACTGAACAGTGGGACGCAGAATAGGCCTGATAAGACCTCGGTGCTATCGGACTTGAATGGGAAACCACAGATATAAGAAGAAGAAGAACATACGTAGCGATTCGTTAGTTAAAGTTTTTTACTAGACTCCGTGTCAAGTGTAAGAAGTACGACGTGGTGTTAACAATCGTTGTATAATATTCGGGTTCCTTATCTTTTAATTAGCTTCTTGTTACTTGAAATAACAACTTTATTTCATAAATTATGAATGACAAATATTACTATTTTTATATGAGAAGCACAACTGTCAATACTGTCAAACAAATTACAATTGTTCTCTCCTTTTTTAGATCAGGGCAACACTGACCAGGGCGCAGAGACTTTTACATTTAAATAAGTACCCAACATGCCCCCCGCCTTGAAAGGAGAATCAATCATTTCAACTAATAACTAACAATAGGTTTACAGCTAACTACAATGGTTTATGACCACAGTCAAAGTAGCAATTTGGTTTGATATCACTTAATCACTCGGTATAATGACCCTGAGCACTCCCGCACCTTTCATTTGCTCGATTTCCTTCTGAAACGTCAGGTAGGGGACACACCTTTGTTGCAGCTCGTTTCGTAGGACCATTGGCAGTTTGGATGGTGATAACTCTGGCGATTCCGTCTGCTCCGGGATGAAGTTCTTTAACCCGACCAAGCCTCCAGCGTAACGGTGGCAGATTTTCATCTCTTAGAAGCACTAGGTCTCCAACATTCACAAACTGTGGACCACGATGGTTTTTCTGTCGTTGATGTAATTCTGAGAGGTATTCTTTTTTCCATCTGCTCCAAAAGTGCTGGACAGTCTGTTGGATGCGCTGGTATCTTACCAGCCTATTGGTGGGGACATTTTCCAGCTCCCGATCTGGTAATGACGTTAATGGGCGGCCAATTAAAAAATGCGCCGGGGTGAGAGGAGTGAGGTCGTTAGGACTGGCACTAATAGGGGATAAGGGCCTTGAATTTAAAATGGATTCAACTTGTACTAAAAGGGTGTACATTTCCTCGAAGGTCAAGTGCGCGTTTCCCGCTACCCTCTTCAAATGAAACTTGGTGGACCTAACCGCCGCCTCCCATAAGCCACCGAAATGGGGTGAATACGGGGGGATAAAGTGCCAGTTAACATCTTCGTTTGCAAGAATTTCTGATAGGCTATCTGAATTTTGTTTTAACATGTTCCCCAATTCTTTTAAGTCAGAGTTGGCTCCAACAAAATTCTTTCCGTTATCCGAGTACATATGCGCAGGCTTGCCACGACGACCTATGAACCTACGCATAGCCATTATAAATGCCCCGGTGGACAGTTCTGTTACAAGTTCTATATGTATACATTTGGTGGAAAAACAAATGAAGATACATACATAACATTTTGATAATTTGCTGCCTCTGCCCTTTCTATTTGCTAACCACAGAGGACCGGCATAATCGACACCAGTGTGATAAAAGGGAGAGGAAGGCGTTACCCGTTGAATCGGTAAATTTCCCATAGGGGGTGCAAAAGGCTTTGGATTTACTCTGACGCATTTGACACATTCGTGGACAGTTTTTCTAGCAAGTTTCCGACCGGATATAATCCAATATCGTTCACGTATTGCAGACAATAATTGCTGCGGTCCAGCGTGCAATAATTTCCCATGTTCATAGCGAAACAACAGTTTGGTCAAGTAATGATCAGCCGACAATATCAAGGGGTTTATTTTATCAAAAGAGTAATTTGAATTGGTCAATCTACCTTTAACTCTTAAGGTTCTATCAGTATGCAAAAAAGGTGTAAGTTTTAATAATTTACTACGTTGCTTTATTGTACCTTGAGCATCTAAAGAATTAATATCTTCCCGGAATGATTCAAGCTGAGCTCTTTTTACTAATATTAAAACCGAAGCATTGAGTTCCTTTGTAGTTAAAGAACCGTATGTGCGATCATTGGCTTTAAGTTTGCAGTTATTACAAAATCTCAAACAATATGCAATCTCTCGCCGTAGTTTATTCCAACATGAATAATTTTGAAAAGAAAACGGTTCTTCACCTGTGCGCGTAATAAGGCACTGTTTAATGACCCTCAAATCTGGCAGATCACTATCATCTTGTAAACACCTTTCATTAGATACAAAGTCTTTATCATAATCTTCCTTCTGGAGCCACTCAGGCCCTTGCCACCACAATGAGGAATTTTTTAAATTGGAGGGACTGGTACCTCTGGACAATAAATCTGCAGGATTGTTAGAACCGGAAACGTGTCGCCATGAATACGGATGTGTATTAGTTTGTATCTCCGAAACACGGTTGCACACAAAGGTTTTGAGCTTAGAAGGTTCAATTTTAAGCCAAGCGAGGACAATAGTTGAGTCTGACCAAAATTGACAATGATCGAATCTTACATTTAAAGACTGGACAACCTTTTGATATAACCTTGACAATATTAGTGCCCCACATAATTCAAGTCTGGGAATTGTGGTTGGTTTCACAGGGCTGACCTTTGCCTTTGCATACAATAAACGAACATACACATTGCCATAACCATCTACTGAGCGTAAATAGATACATCCCCCATAAGCTCTTTCACTGGCATCTGAAAACCCATGCAATTCAATTCTAATGGGATTTCTACAAATGACGTGACGATCTATGTTCAATTCATTTAAAGTGTGTAACTCTGATCGAAAATCAATCCATTTTGTATGTAATTGTAACGGAATAGCTTCGTCCCAAGAAAGTTTCAGAAGCCATAGCTCTTGTATGATCATTTTTGTGACTACAACACAAGGACTAAGTAGACCCAAAGGATCAAAAATTCTAGAGATTTCTGATAAGATAGCTCGTTTACTTACTCGAGATATTTTAGCAATATTGATGTCATAAGACAATTGGTCAGATTGAGGCAACCACATTAGACCAAGTGTTTTAGATTTTTCTTCCTCTTCTTTTCCAAATCCCTTTGAACTTGATGACCATCGAGACTTATCTATTCCTTCAAGAACCTTTTCAGAGTTAGAAATCCACTTCCTTAGGAAAAATTGACCCCGTTCCAAAATATTTAGAAGACCCACACAATTTTGCTGTAGCGATTCTAAAGAATCCGACCCTGTGATTACATCATCAACATACATATCATGTCTGATGATGTTTACTACCTCAGGACACTCATTCTCGTACAACTTGGCCAATTCAAACAGACACCGAATTGCCAGAAAAGGTGCACTAGCTGTGCCATAAGTCACTGTGTTTAAATTAAACGTTGAAATAGGCAAAGAAGTATCAGAACGCCATACAATTCGTTGTAGAGAGCGCTCTCTTTCTTCTACAAGTACCTGCCTGTACATTTTTTCAATATCTGCACACGCTACATACGTATGCTGCCTAAAACGAAGTATGATTGTTATCAAGTCAGACTGAATAGTAGGACCCACCATTTGAAGATCATTAAAAGAGTAGCCAGTTGTAGTAGGAGATGATGCATTGTATACCACCCGCAATTTAGTGGTTTCACTACTTTCTCGCAGAACACCATGATGAGGTAAATAGTATGCACATTCAATCTGAACTTTGTCATTCACCTTAGTCATGTGACCCATTCTTTCATATTCCTCCATAAAGTCTACATACATATTCTTGAATTCAATATTATTCGCAAATTTGTGCTCTAACTGCTGAAACTGTCGAATAGCTCGATTTTTAGATTCCCCTAACAGACTCACACAACTCTTTAATGGAATAGACACCACAAAACGTCCATCTTGATCTTGTCTCGCTGTTTTTGTGAAATGATCCTCACACATTTGCTCTTCTTTCGAGAATTTTCGAATTTCTGAGAATTCATTTTCTATCTCCCATAGCTTACAAACCTGCCTTTGTAAGTCATTCTCAACGGATAAGTTACAATGAGTAAATTTTTCCTGCCCACCGACACCTAAAGGCCCTGAAACTATCCATCCAAATTTTGTTTTTTGGAGGACAGGTTTGTTCGATCCTAGATTTATTTGGGCAGCACACAATAGGTTCCAGAATATATCAGCACCTATTAGCATATCTACTCGAGACGCTTTGTTGAATTGAGGATCAGCTAACCTAAGATGCTGAGGAATTTCCACCTGCGACAGATTGAATGAAAACTCAGGAAGTTGGTTTGTTATCTCAGGAATCACAAGACACGATATTGAAGTACTAAAATTATTGTGACGAGAACGTACAGTGACCTGAGATTTCGATTCTATTTTTGTTGATGTACAACTTAAACCTACCATTTTTATTTCAATTGGAGTTTCCGGTAAACCCAACTGTTTCACTAAATTTGATGTCACGTAAGACGACTGTGACCCACAATCTAACACAGCTCTTATTAGTCGTGGCTTGCCGGTCTTATCTAAAACCTCGAGACTTACTGTAGACAACAACACCATATTTGAAGAAAAGGATGATAAAGTAACAACTGCATCAGAACCTTTCGAATTTTCCCCTTGCTCTATAGCCTCATGATGAAGTAAAGTATTGTGCTTACCGTTGCATTTGTTGCACAAAGCCTTTATCCTGCACCGTGTTACAAAATGACCAGATTTGAGGCAATTTAAGCAAAGTTTTAATTCCCTGACACGATTGTACCTGCAATCGGTAGACAATTTTTGAAATTCTGCACAGTTATTAAGAGAATGTGCTGCCTTACAATGAACACAATATTTTAAATTATCGTTTTCTTTCACACTGGACCCCAGCAGGCAACGTGACGATTGAATTTGCTTCTTTTCGGACCGATTTCCATGTTTGAGTTCCAAACTTTCTAGAAAATCTGCCCTCGTTTTTAGGAAATTTTGAAAATCTTCCAATGTGGGAGGATCACTACCTACCTGATGCTCTTCCCACTTTCTGTTAGTAGCATTATCTAATTTAAGACTAGCCATATGGATTATTAACGTATCCCACTCTTTAGTATTTTGCCCTAGTGAATCTAAAGCACTCAAATGTTTAACAATATTATTTGATAAAGCACGCAGCTTAATAGAAGATTCATGTGACAATTTTTCCAAATTAAACAATGCTTTTATGTGATTATTTATAAGCAGTCTGGTATTATTATACCGGTTACACAGTAATTCCCAAGCCTTTTGATAATTATTTTTTGCAAAATCTAATGACTTGATTATTTGTAACGCATCCCCCTTTAGTGACGATCTTAAATAGTGAAATTTATGTATTTCTGATAAACCAGTATGACAATGTATTAGCGATTCAAAACTATCTCGATATTCTAACCAAGTGTCATAAGTGCCATGAAAATCTGGAATTTTGATAGTTGGCAATTTTAATCCACTTACAAAACCCGTTTCAGTTCTACATATTTCACTATTAATCGATTGAGCATGCGAATGTACTGACTCTATTTCATCTTTAAGATTTTCCCGAAAACTATTTAATAATCTTTTTCCTTTTGAGGTACAACTATAATACTGACTCTGAAATCCTGAACGATCCTGGAACTGCTTTTCTATCTCGGATTCAGACACTGTTAATTCGATTTGCAACTGAATTTCTTCATAATCGGACATTAACGAAAGTGCTGCATTTAGCCTTGATTCAAGCTCTAACGCGCATTCTTCTTCAACAACAAAATTCTCGCTCTCGGACGCGGTAATCAACTCCACCAAGTATCTTTGAAAAAGGGTAAGCCTTTGTTTTACGGAGCCTCTTCTCCTAACTAACAATGTGAATTCTTTCTCTTCACACATTCTTCAAATTGTATAAAATGGCCGAATTTCGTCCAATTTTACGTATACACAATGCTGCTCCCTGCGACGAACAACTAACGTATTCAGGAAGGCTGTGTCAACCAACAAACTGTTTATTCTTTCCTTGCAAGTCCCTGCTCGGGCGCCATGTATAATATTCGGGTTCCTTATCTTTTAATTAGCTTCTTGTTACTTGAAATAACAACTTTATTTCATAAATTATGAATGACAAATATTACTATTTTTATATGAGAAGCACAACTGTCAATACTGTCAAACAAATTACAATTGTTCTCTCCTTTTTTAGATCAGGGCAACACTGACCAGGGCGCAGAGACTTTTACATTTAAATAAGTACCCAACAATCGTGATTACGTTGATATGCTGTTAGATTACAGAGAAACTCATGGGAATTCTTCTAAGACCCGTAGGATCATGATGAGATGAGATGAATCATTTTTCGAATCGTATCATATTTCGGGATCCGGGATCTTTTAAGGATAAAGGATGAACGATACACTTTTGGAGAATATTGCAAATAACCCTTCAAAAAGGTCAGTTTGCAGGATAATAATACCCGTATTATGCACAAAAAGATTTTACAGCTTCAGGATTATCATCACCGACAGCATTTTGTAGGTCGGCATAACGAACATTTTCAGAAAAGAATGGTCATTACATTATACTGGATCTGTGAGATGATCGAAAGTATATATAATTTTTAAGCAACGTCCTGATGCTGAATGATGTACTGGTTGATGTTCCTCTGGAAATTAGTCGAAATGATATCTTGATGATGGTGTTCCTTGCCATATTGGCCGAATTGTTCGAGACTAGTTAAGTCAGTCCTGGACGATGAATTAGTCGAAATGATTCAGTTGCCTGGCCCATCCGATCGCCAGATTTGAATCCTTGCACTTTTATTTACAGAATTGTTTGAAGCAGCAGATGTAATCCACTTCAGTTAATATGGTTGAGGAGCTACGAGAGCAAACAGGTAACGCCGCCAGAGTAATTGCAATAATTCAACGCTGTGTACGTAATAAGCCAAATCAAATAAATAAAAAAATGTAGATAACCTAGTACCATTTGTTTGTATGAACAATTCATATTTAACGCGTATCATCACTAAACAAACCGATCATACGCTTCATGTGAAACGGGTGTAAGTGACAACCTACTGAAATAACAAAGTTGATGTATTTTTGATGAGTAAAAGGTCTGTTATTTTTTGCTTAATGCTGGTTTATAGCATAATTAGAGATCGGAAGCTTTGTAGCGATTATCAAATAAATAAAAAGTAGTAATCAATATTATGCTACTCAGCCGCATTACGAGTTTTAGTAGCAAAAATGGGCAAAATCTATGGCCAAGCCGTGTACCGCTCTATGCTCAGGATAGGCTATGCTATTGATTGCCAAAAAAAACATGTGCCATCCACTCTACCAAGCTAAGCGTCAAAGTTACTCACACACGCACAAATGACAAAGAAATGCACGACCAACGTCCTCGGCGAAAAACCTGGATTGTTCATCTGCACGCCAGGCCGACAGGACAGGCATTAGGGTATCGTATCGAATAAATTGATCGGTGCGAACCTTCAAATCAGAGTAGTTGATGCTTCGTTCGCTACCATTAGTAAAAATAGCATCTATAAAAAACTTCGACTATTAAACGGTCATTTTCGTTTTTGAAATGGGTATTTACCGATCTTTGGAGACGATTAACCACGGAACACTTAGGACAACTGTTAATCATTTTGTACAATCGCTTTTTATGTTTCGTACTATTTATGCAAATACTTACATATACAGGGTGTCCGCAAATTTCACCGACAACGATTGACTGCACATTCACGACGATAAATAAAGACGATCTACGAAAAAAAAGTGAAATAAAAAATTTTTTGTTTTTGAGTTTCAAGTTGTAAAAAATAAAACAAATTTAATTAATAACTTCATAACCCTTTTACCGATCGCGTTAAAATTTGGTACATTTATTTAGACCATTATTGCATATTATTTCTTAAAGATTTAGTCAAATCGATGTACTGGGTGATAGTTTTCTCTGGTTACCTCTCCCTTTTAACGGTCAAAACCTTTACAGTGGTCGTATTTTTTTAAAGCGGGCGGCAACATTGAAAAGGTCGTTTTATTTAAAAAAAATATTGTCTCTTGAGAAAATCGCCTACACAAAGCCATTCTTGAATTCTTGAAAAATGGCGGAAACCCTGTAGGTATAATCTTATAGCGTAAAGCGTGTGGTTATAAGAAGCAATTTTTGTTTGATTAAAATTACATAAAAGAAAACTCGGCCTAGAGCCAACTCTGTACTATTGCAGCCTCCCTAACATTTTCCATCTCTAATTATAATAAATTTTATTATTTTATTGTAGTAAGCGAGTCAATTCCCCATCTTTTTGTTTATTATTCAGTCAACTAAGCGTTTCGATTTAAGCTCCAAACTAATAAAATTAAAAAAAAGCATATTATCTTAATAACTAAGAGGTTTTTGAAAAAAATATATTAGACAAAAGTTGCTGCTTTTAGTGAGTTAGACTTAAATAGTATGTCGTTAAAGTTTTGGCACTTATTTCTGGGACACCTTTCATTTATGTTAAAATTTATACAGTTAAAGTCATAAAGTAACTGTATTGAACAACTAACTGAATTGTGACATAAACATTTACATAGGTACATTCGCGCGACATTTCTCTGCATGTATCTGCTTCACACTGACGATCAGGCTAATTAATGAAAAAAAAGTTCTTTTCCATTAAGATAACGATTTTAACAGGCTTGCCAATTGGAAACACGCCATACATTTTTTCACGTATATACGTATATGAGTTAAGCTTTGCTAAAGCATAACGGTGTACTTATACATCTATAAAAAGGTAATTAGTATAGCAAGTAGTGTATTACAAATCGATGTTAATTTTGTATCTAAAATCTATTATTATAAAAATTTTTTAGTGAATGTAAATTATTATTGCAAAAATTTAATGGTTTACATTATTAAATTACTATAAGTTTCATATTCATATTTATTCATAAAACATGAGAAAAAACTGAGTTGTTGAAAAGTTGAATTAATAACGAACAAGGTCGTTTCACATACCTATATATTTTTTATTTATTTGAATTCAGCACGTTTCAAAATTATTATAGTTTTTTTTCAGAATTTTAATTTTAAAATATGAACATGTTCCGCCCTTTTCTATAAGGCGTTGTGACGTCAACTATGTCGCATGCGCATTACGCTTTAAGTTTATGTTGGTATAACAAGTTAAGTTGGCTATTCTGACATTACTGGAACAGTCACATTTTCTGTCATTTATCATTATTTACTATTTGTTGTGCTGGTGACCGGTTGTGATTTTGTGTGTTATTTTTGTTTATTATAATTTTAATTAACATGGAGAGTATGAAAAATTACAATATACAGTTATCACTGCCACACTCACTGTATAATAATAAATAAGACAGATCTACTATAGGTTTGTGATATTAACCTCAAATTATAAAGTATCAAGACTGTCATGAATCATGATGTTAAATCGTTTTCTGTGTATTTTGTTTGTCTCGATTACGCTTGTATACGAGTTGACGTCACAGCGAGAGAGACAATAATTTTAGACAGAAAATGTTTAAATTTTATTTTGATATTGTTCCTCTGCGATCCATTTTTTCTGAAAAGTAAGTTAATGAAAATAAATATATAAGCTTTTGCTACTGAAAAATAATAGCAAATTCAGTTTTTGGAATCTAACGCAACGACCCTATTAGATTATAAACCCTGAAAACTTAAAAAAATATTAATAAACATTTTATTGCACGTTACGATGGTGAAGGGTGTGTGTAGAATAATAATATCAAAAAAGTAACTCGAAAGAAGCGACGCTAAGTTGGCAAATTTCAAACAAATTGCAAATTTACGTGTTTTTTCACTTTTTTTACTACCCAACTTATAGCTTAATTACTAAACGTTCATTTTAAAAGTTAATCTAGTAGATATAGGTTCTAATTGATCCAAAGCATCGTATCGGAAAATATTGGATTTACGTTGCTCTAGTCAACTAACAAAGTAGGATGTGCAAATCAGCGTTATAAATAAATTGTCCCTGGTTCAGGAAATAGCCGCTCGAGAATTCGCTCTTTTTGCATTAAATAGAGTGCATTTTTACGGTAATTAAAAAAAAGAAGTCACTTACGTCTCTCTGCTCCTCAGATAGTTTTTTTAAATTAACTATTGCACGTATCGGATCGGAATTTTAGAGACAATTAAAGAAAGGATTATACTTTTATATTGACAGTTCATGTAATAAGCCGGTTAGTAGCAATAAAAGTTAACGTTAATGAACGGCCTGCGCGCGTGAGAAGCGTGTAAGATTTTTGATTGTAATATTTCATTTATTTAACTTCTAAGTTCTAAGTTCTATTTAATGTAAAAAGAGCGAATTCTCGAGCGGCTTTTGCCTGACCCTGGAACAAATTATTTATAGCGCTGTTTTGCACATCCTGCTTTGTTTTTTTCAAATTTCTTTTTCGATAGGTTTCTCTGGATCAATTAGAAAGCTTATAAGATACCTAAATTATCTTCCAGGTAAAAGATGAAGAAAAAACAAATCCCTTCGATGATTAGTTCCGATAAGTCCTTCCCTTTAAAATGGTTTATCGTTGTCATTGTGGTTCACTTTCACGTCCCATCGACTTTAAAAACCTGAAAAATATTTAGAATACTTTTTTCAATAAATAACCGTATTTTTAGTGGGTTAGAGGGCTCTTGGTAGCGAATTAGGCCGAAAAAGGCCTAAAAACGTCGTAAAAATGCAGTTATTTGACCATGTTCCACTAATTTTAAAAATCTGAAAAAATTCAGGGGAAAACTTTGATCAAAGATACACATTATATTTTTTTCCGAGACAACCATATTTTTATTTTTTTTTTAATTAAATTTTTAAGTTTTAATACGCTTATAAAATTTTTACTTTTGGGCTGGGAGTTTCGAAAAAATATCACCTTGTAGGGCCAAAAAACTTTTAATTAAAAAAAACCCGTTAAATATGGCCAAATGACGGAAAAACACGAAATAATTTTTTTTGAGGTTAGGTTTGCATTTTTTGGGCTGAAAATTTACACAGAACTACCATTTTTCATGCTGAACATGCCAGTATTTTTTTCGTCTCGATTCACTCCGGGGCAATTTTCACTATTTTATCCGGCTAGGCCCTTTCATCAACATTCATCGCTTTTTACATAATAATTGCGCAATTTTCGAAAACTATTTTTTCCGTATTCAACCTTTGTTTTACAGTTAACAAATTGGTGAAATATTACTTTAGATACCTACCTTAAATTTTCCAAGAGCTCGTCTAGATTTTCATGGGAAGTAAAAAAAGTGAAAAAAAAAACACGTAACTTTGCCACTTAATTGCAATTTGCCAACTTAGCGTCATTATTTTCGAGTTTTTTTTTATATTATCATTCTACATACCCTTTCCCGTCATAAAGTGCAATATCTGCTAATAATTTGTTTACGTTCAAACTGGAGTATTATTAAATTGTCGATGTCTGGTTTGGTATGGAAAATTTTACCGTGACAGAGATGAAGGCGTGTCTTTCTGTAGTCAATTTTACCGCATCGTGTTTGACATGAGACCGGTAAAAAGAGAAGCGAAACCGATCAACTAATTCCCTACTGAAAATGTAGGTTATAATATAATAAAGGCAGAAACACAACATTTACTCGCAGACGTTCTTCAAGAATGGACATACTGCCGGTCTGTCTCACGTTAACGATATGTTTCGTTCACGCAGGCAGCAGCAATAATAATGGCACCAATGATAAACAAATAATTGAAGAGAATGTCACAGATTGCGTAGAAACCAACTATCCCTCGAATATCGCACCTGAAAAAGCTGTGAGTAGTACTGTATTATATAATTTAAAATCAAGTGATTCTGGTGAAAATTCAAATCCGTTTTTCAATAGCCCATCTAATTTAGGCAGGAAAATGAAAATGTCGATGAATGTGATACAGTATATGATAGTGCCAGGGTTTCTAATGGCGGGAATTCTACCCTGGGTAATGCCAGGACTTCAAATTGTTGTTTCCGTTTTATCCATGGTAAATAATATGGCTTTTACTAGTGCCCTAGTTGCCTTGGTCAGGAGTTACGTTTTTGAAAAGGAACCTGAGGAACATGTAGTGTACCTCAATCATGGTTACAAACATGGGGATCACGCCAGGTGATTCTGGCATTCCATTTTTTTAAATGAATGCATTTGTTTTTTTCTAGTCCACATAGTGTTTTAAGATTTACACCTTGCCTTTAGTTTATATGTATTGTGTGTATTCAGCTTTATTCCTTATTAGGTAAAAAATATGAAATAAGATATTATTTTACTTTTTAAAAATCGTGTATTTATTAATAAAAAACATTTTTGTTGGAAGTCTCTTTTATTTCTGAACAAATATATTTTTTAATTAAGTATAAGTATTGAAAATGTATGTGTAGGCTTATACATATTTTGATGATGTATATAAAACATAGGCAACCAGGCATATCATAAAGTGAAATAGTGTTTTGCCTAAATATAAGATTACACCCATTCAAGCAAGCTCGATAGAATATAGATGCTCCGGATGAATGTTTTGTTATAACTGCTTAATAGAAATAAATAAATTTACTCATGTATAATGTTTATTAATTAAAAACAAAATAAATATAATAAAATTTATATTATATAACATAACGGGTTCTATCTAATGGTAAAATGATTTCCAATAGAATGGAAAACCAATCACAATATAACATTTTAAATTCAACAACACAGTAACGATAAATAATAACAAAACAGCAGTAATATAACAAATAATTTAAAATTATAACAGAAAATTAAAATCTACATTGTGAAATATTCCTTTTCTGACAGCTTGTAAATGTCAAAGGTCAATCAATATATTAACTTTGTAGTTGGTTGTCAAGTCTTAATTTTTCGAAAAGAGAGCAGCTTGAGAAGAATACTCTCAATAATTTTTATTATAAAAGTTACGCAATACCCTTGTAATATCTATTTAAGTCTTGATATAAAGAACGAAAGAATGTATTTCTTGGTTGATTGTTTTTTGTGAGTAATACAGGAAGTCATGTATAATGACCTATCTCTTAAGTTATAAAATATAATACCCTCAAAATTTTGGAATATCTGGAAGTTATCAGTGACTGAACATTTTCCCAGTTAGTTGCCACGTTATCGTATTAGGCTTCTTGACGTTTCGAGAGGCAGATCGCTCTCTTCTTCAGAAGACACAGTTCCAGATTTTCCTCTGAAGAGAACGATCTTGAAACACGATGAAGCCTAAACTGACTACGTGGCAACCAGCCAAGAAATTGTTCAGCCGCATCTTGAAATATCTTGAAGTTAAGTGTGTAGGTACGTATTAATATTCAAATATAAAAGAAATCTGTACATATCACGTCTCTTTCAGTTTATTATAACATTTAATATGCTTTACTTCCTCCACATTCATATCTTTGTCTCCCCAGCCCCACAACATATCACCATGATCATGGTGATTGGGATCATCATGATTAACCTTCCTGCTCTTGTGTTCTACCCAAGAACCATCACCAGTTCTCTCAACACGTTTTTTCACCATGTGGGGAGACACCGTCTTCAAGTCGTAGGCCCAGCCTATTTTTGACATCAAGTCTAGGAATGCTGTGGTGAAATTTAGGCGGTAGTTGCCAAGTTCCGCCGCTTTATAGTCCCAGGGGAAGACGTGGTGATAATTGTGCCAACCCTCCCCGAAAGCAGCCCATGCCACGAAGGTGTTTTCGGTAGCTTTGATGTTCCTGAAATGAGACAGGCGATTGAAGTGACCTATTTTCAATTTTTCTCTACTATGGTAAATACAGTTCACTACAATATAACGTTGATGATTTCAAGAAGAAAAATGTGGTTAGATTTATATGTATAGAAAGTATTGATTAACTGGCGTTTATGCAATGCATTTGTTATTTTTGAAACTTACTTGTCATACGGTTTGGTGCCAAAGATGTGTGCAGCGCTGTTCACCAACCAAGTAAAGTTCAGCGATATGGTGTATCTAAAGATGCTAGCGACGAAAAAGGTGTTCCACCAGCTTTCTCCCCAATAGTAGTAGGGGAAAAAGGAAGGAATCAAGAAACAGAAAACTGGCGCCAAAATAAGATAGTACCTGAATATCCAGAAGGAAAAAAATTACGTCGATCGTATGTCTTAAAATAAAATACAAATAAAAACTCTTTCTATAATTACATATGTCAGTAATACAGGCTGTCTCCTAAAAAAACGTCGCAAGCCATAACGTCGTTATTTATAGTCTGATTTTAAAAATGAAAAAAATTAAATGAAATATATCTAAATATACTACAGAGGGACCATTTTGGAGCTTATTTACTATTTTTTTTTTCTTGAAAAGCGATAGTCAACAATGGCAATATAGTTTTTTTGTTATTTACTATTGTGCAGATTTGACTGTAAGCATTTATTACAGAAAAGCCGACATTAGTCGATACCGCATTCGGCGCCCGGCCACTAATACATAGTGCTGGCAACTGAAAAGACAATTTTGTAGATAACAGAGAAAAAACAATACAATGAATATACATTAAAATAAAAACAATTTAATTAAATACATAGAAAGTTCAAGACGAAATAACATTAATTAAATAAAAAACACATTGATCGAAGAACAACAAACACAAAACAACTAAAGAAACAAATTGTAGCCGTCGTTATCCAGCGTTTTCCTCTAATGATTATACTTTTCGAGGAATGGCTTGAATTTGTGCTTTTTCAATAATGCATGTACTCTTTGATGCTCCAATATTATTAGAAATTTCCCGAAGTTCTTGGGTTTTGTTCATCGTTAAGAAGAACATTGAACTTGATGTTTTCATTAAATTGACGTTCTTCTAGCTTTGGTTTCTTAAAAGCACCATAGTTTTTCAAATTTTCTCCCAGGTCTTACAAATCTACGTGATTCTGGAACTTCTCTGTGGGGAAATAGTTCTCTGTAAATGCAGACTCCTGCACCACGATTTTTATTACACCGAAAGTATACCTGAATCATGTCCCTCTTGATTATTATTCATATTTTGCACTGTTGAACTTATTTCAATAAATAACCTACTGTAAATGACACAGAAAGAGTATAATGCGTAAAAAAACTGGGACACGAACATTAAAATGATATTTACTTGCTTTGTTGTATTATTTTTTGTTTTCTAGGCATACATGATTAGTCAAAATATGTTTGGGCGCTAATAATGCGGTATTGACTATTTTCATGCATTTTCTGTAATACATGTTTTACAAAAGTAAACTTTATATACATCGTTGAATTCAGAATAGAAATCTACACAATAATAAATAAAAAAATATATTGCCATTTGAAAAAAAAGTTTACTATCGCCTTAAAAAAATAAATAAATACGCTCCAATAGGCTCACTCTATAGTGTATTTAGAGCCATTTCATATGTTTTTTGTTTTCTAAAATCGGACTATAAATGACGGAGTTATGGCTTGAGGCATTTTTTAGGAGACAGCCTGGTGGTGTATCACGAAGAGGGTCCAGAAGGATTATCTCAAAATGTAGTCAGAATTGAAATCTGAAAATTTGTATACAGGCGTTCATCAAAAATATCTATTAAATGAAAATAGTGTCAACTTCCTCGCACTTCCGATTATACTGGAGATCATCATCAACTTTGTTATTTCAAATGGAACACTGTATATTTATGCATTTTTTAATTATACGGTAAATTCTAAACTATTTTCAAAGGTCAAAGGTACTATAGGCTAAAATGTGACAGTTTTCAAGTGATTATCAATTTTCGAAAAAAAATGTTATTTTTGAAAATATAATAACTCCGACATTTTCTGTGTTGAAATCAATAATTTCCAATTTACACAAGATCTGTTAACTTTGGGTATGGGGGAACTATAGTGTCATTTTAAAGTAAATTTAATTCTGCATCCATTAATGTAATAATATACAGGGTGTACCATTTGAAATATTTGAGTAAATTCAACTTTAACGTCACATATTGGCCACACGTTTTAAACACTCTGTATGAACTTTTGCAAATTTGACATAAACTGGTTCAATTCCATTGCTTTTAAATTATCAACGCCAAATTTCATTAATAAATAAAGCTAAATGTCGGAGTTAATCTGTTTTCAAAAATCATTTACATCCCTCAATGTTTTGCGAAAATTGATAATAACTTGAAAACTGTCACATTTTGGCCTTTAGTACCTTTTATGAAATTAGTCTAGAATTTACCGTAGAATTAAAAAATTCAAAAATATACAGTGTTCCATTTAAAATAACAGAGTTGATGATGACTTCCGGTATAACCGGAAGTGCGGGAAAGTTGACACTATTTTCATTGAATAGATATTTTTGATAAACCCCTGTATACAAATTTCCAGATTTCAATTTTGACTACTTTTTGAGATAATCCTACTGGGGTATCCTCTTCGTGATACACCCTGTACATATAAGAGTGCTAATGCTACCAGACAATTTTAAAGACAAAATACATACTATAGTTCAGCTAATTATATTGTAATCCGAAGTTGTTTCATTTTTGAGTTATGAGGATCAAATTTAAAAAAAATATATTATTATTGCGAAATTAATTATTTTATAAATTTTACAAGGAATCGTATTTATGAGCACAAACAATGTAACTCTAGTCAATGTAAACGAAGCTCGGAACATTTTCCAGCGCTTCTAAAAACATTGCTATTATTTAAAGCAATGTGTTTAGTTTGTGAATCTCGGTGTCAACGACCTCATTAACCTGGTTTAGGTTAATTACATAATATCAATTATCAATGAATATTGTTACATTTTGTTACCTAAAAAAAATCATTTGAGAGAACAAGCTGATACGTGTTTCTAAAACTCAAAAGTAGCCTCCGTATAATATGTCCCCATTCTGAATATTTGACCCAATTATATTGACCTCAAGATTATCTGGCAGTATTTTTACTTCTTTATTAAATCCACCCTATGTGACATTATTTGTGTCGACTTACTTTTTTTGAAACATCACGACAGGGTCAGCTTCTAAGTCTGAGAGGTCTACTGTTTTCCCCTTGATAAAAACATCTTTGTGTTTCCTCACCATCAGCCACCCAACGTGCGAAAAGAAGAAACCTCTTTTGGCGTTGTGGGGGTCAGCGTCGGTTTCTGTGAACTTATGGTGAACTCTGTGATCTCTCGTCCACTCGTAGATGTGGTTTTGCAGGGCGGTTGTTTGCATGATCATCAACAGGATTCTTAAGGGCAATTTGGCGACGTACGTCCTGTGCGCCCAAAGCCTATGGGCGCCAGCTGTTATGCCCATTCCGGCAAACGCAGCGTAGATATACGCTGAAATAAAAATACACTCTTTCGTATTTCGTACAATTATGGGATGTTTCAGTAATAACTGGTGTTAGTTAAGCTGATCCAATTTATTTCTTAATTTCGAGAAACTTACTGTATAAACAGGTCTTCCAGCTGGCTTGAGTGATCGCCAGCCACAATCCGTAGATGGCACCTAGATGTAGGAAAAAGAAGACCATCACATTCCTCCAAACAATTTGAAGTTTGTACTGTTGATGTTGACCACTGGCGCGCACTGTCCTTTTTACAGGTCTCTGATATGTAGTGGGGTAAGTTATGGGACTAATTATTTGAACAGGTTCCGCTGTACTGGCCAGCAAAGCCGAGTTTCCGATGAGATTCGGCGCCATTTCACTAAAAAATATGTGTGAAGGACAATAAAATGAAAGTACTGATATTTAAATTTATTTATTTGTCAGTTATTAATTTTTGGTTTTCACCTGGTCTAAGTCGGTATAATTATTCGTAAAATACAATTTAAGAAACAAAAGACACGTTGAGTTCAGGAAATGATAAAGTTGCTATAAGTTTTGTTTCCATGTTGTCTGACAAACCCGTAATTACAATTTCTCGACCTCAGTGACTTTGAAGTAGCATGGAGTAAAGCGAAAGCTATAGTGAAAATGAAAGTTTATGCTATGAGGAAAAGGTCATGAAGTAATAAATGGGGTAAGAACATTATTTAATGCGTCTATTACCTTTTATTAGGAATACCTAGCGAGAAACTGTACAACGTGGATACTAAGAGTTTAGTAACAACGTCGCCTTCAAAGTTCGTCTGTCATTTCTTAGTTTGGATGCTAATATTGCTCTATTATCCTGGAATTCGGTGATAGTTTATATTTTTGTATTTGAAAGTGTCAACCAAGTTACAGCCGAAAATATTCCACTTCACTTTCTCCTTATAACGAAGTACGGAGACAATTTCGAGAACTTCAAGTCACCAAAAGTATGATAAATACAAACATTCATCTGCCACTGACGAATAATATATTGAAGAAGTTTATAGGTTAGCGGGTCAAATAATTTGGTCCTGCTTAAGGTAACAAGCAAATAAATTGAATGTAGTTACACTGAACAAGGTAGAAGACGTTTCGGTGGTGATAAATAAAACATAAGTGCTTTTCCAAGGAAAAAAAAAACGTTCTATTTTAGTACTAGTACAATCTTTATGGTTGCTTAATTAATGAGAGGTGTATGGTTCAATTATGATATAGTTTATTTATGTCGAAAGAACTATAACTCATTTTATATTAGGAAACCTAGTTACCTCAAACTTGAAACTTTCTTTTGTTAGTGCTAAGAAAATTGTACTAAATAATTATCTATGAGTAAAAAATTAAAGTTTCATGAATTTTAAAGCGATACGACTCAATTAAAATTCGTTAATAAGCTCTTATCTGTTGTGCAATTTGAGGCGTTAGTTATATAACTTTTTTAATATGTAATTAAACGCCTTTTTACGAGAAAGTCCGATACAAGTTAAATGTTTTTTACGGTAATGTGTACATACATAAAAAAGCAAATAAGGTAGGTATTTAGATTGTTTGAGTCTTATACAGGGTGATTCAAAAAACCGCTGACAGACTTCTAGGGTAAGTAATATATGAAAAATTAAGACAAAAAGTCTTAATAAACATAGGGTCGCAAATGCCTCCTTAACGAGATACAGGGCGTCAAAGTTTCCGTAAAATTAAAGCGTAAAAATGACAAAAAGAAGCTTATAATCTAGTTTACTTAACTCACTTGTACACATTGACATTAGTGACAGGCGATGTTTAATTTTATTTAGAATAGCACAAGCCTACTATGCGAAACTAAAATGAATGAAAATAAAATTGGATTTCCAAATTTTCTACAAAGGTGTTTCTCTTAAAAATGGTTGCTTTAATCCGAATTTTGCAAGAGACCAATTCGATAGACAATTGAACACTTTACACGAAAATAGTGCCCTTTTGACAAAATTAGCAGTGGCGTAGAAAATATTAAAAAAAAGGGTCACGTTGACCCCGTCTCTAGGACACTGCTGCTCATAAAATTTTGAGCAGTACGTCAAACATTGGTCTTAAGGTGCTAACTACGCATAGCAAATTTGAAATAGAAATGTTCAGGCATTTTGGAATTATTGCAGACAATGTTTAATTTTACAGAAACTTTAACGCCCTGTATCTCGTTAAGGAGGCATTTGCGACCCTATGTTTATTAAAACTTTTCGTCTTAATTTATTATGTATTATCTACCCTAGAAGTCTGTCAGCGGTTTTTTGAATCAACCTGTATAGGTGACATTGAGGGGTACCAGGTATTTGTTAATTTTACCGGATTTGTCACGTCTCAAAAAAATAAACAAATTTGTTTATAATTGCCATATGCAATAAAGTTCCTAATCGTAATAAATTGCTTAATAGGAGTTTTTTTAGGAACGTCATTTGAAAATTGTCAATTATTGGCAAAATTTATTTCGTAACGTGTTACGAAAAATTTTTTCTACAAACAATTCGTGGTGAACACAGCATAAAATTATATTTACTGGCAAGCTGTTGTCAAAATGTTTATACAAACAGTATCACTTAGGCACGTACGTTAAAAAAATCACTTTTAGGCACGCCTGCTAGAAAGGTTATCATTGCGAAATTAAAGTTACACTTGAAAAGTCATAATCAAACATGGTTTGTAGAAAAAAAAAATTTGTTTAGTTCTTTACTCAAAAGTGAAAATGCCTCTTATGTCATTAATATTTGAGAGAGTTACCAAATAAACGCATAAAAATTCCGAAGAAATCAAAATTTTATTTTTATTTAATTTGTTACCACAATACCATTGAATCATTAACATTTCAATGAATTGTGCTGGTAAAAGTTAATAATTGACAACATTTTAGAAATCGAAACATTTTAATGGATTTTGTTCCAGGAGAAAAGTGAAACTTGTTTTCAGTCATGAGTAAAAATGATTTTAATGTTTTCTTTGCTATCTGCATTTAAAATCGCTTTTTAAAAAACTAACAGACATGAGGGCAATTTTGAAAAATCTCCGCTCCTTTTTATTAAAAATATGTTTTATTTTCAAGGCCAATTAAAAAAGCATATTTATTTTTGTTTAAAATATGATAATATACGATACAGTAGTTCAGAAAAAAAACTTTTAATTAAGGGCAGGTACAGCTTTGACCTGAAATAGGGCAGTTAACAGTTATTTTATCGTTAAAAGCTATTCGCTTTTAATTAGCATACAATGGATGGGTCTTAATGGAAACGAAGTGCCCACTAATTGATAATGGTACTTTCTATGTTGGATTTACTTCAACTAAAGTAGGTCCAAAAATAATTGTAGCAGCCTTTTGAAAACGGATGTTTAAGTAGAACGTACAGTATTGAACAATAAACTGTATTTCTCCTTTTCTATCCATATCTCAGGGAATTAAGCAAATTTCACAGTAAAATTTTGTTTAATAAGTATAGAAATCAACTTGATATGGTTAGAATTGCAAAGATGTAGAAAATGATATTAATATTCACTTATATTACATTAGTACAATGGTTGCAATATGAGTGTTGGATATAATCATGTCTTTGGAAGTTTTTTGAATTTTTATTAAATCTATTGAGCTCGAAACATGCTCTATCTCATTTCCAAAATTATTTGTTCCAGTTCTACACCTGGTGCGTCAATCCAAATTAAAAGCGCTATAAGACAGAAGAAAACTTACCCGACTAAATACTATCAGACACTAAAATGCACTAACTAAGACAGTCACAGACGCTCCTCAAAGTGCCTACCACTTTCGCTACATTGAACTTGAGGATTTGGTAATGAATAAAATTATAACCCAATGGTACCTGTTGTTAAATTCATTTTTCGACCCCCACGTTGCACGCGAGCCTTCCCTCCGTCTTCGTCGGACGCTTGGAAATCTAGTGCTGCTTCCGTTTCGAGGCGGTACCCGGCCGTGGATTTCTCTCAAGTTCAAGAGATGTGTGTCAAGCCTTGGTGCCGCTTTCGCAAGAAACGCGACTTGCTATCTTTCTGACGGGTTACACGTACGCTGTTTGTGGTGGCATTCGGATAAGGTGAATGCCTCCAAAGAAAATAAGAGTTTCTAGAAAGTAATACATATAACAGCACAATTGGTAATTACGATACCTATACAGGGATGGCCAGAAGTACGGGATAAAATTCATATCTTTTGAACGAGTTAATTTTTTTAAAACGCCGAAACACGTTAACTGATTTTGATTTTTTCCCATCTTTCGGTTATATAATCATTAATTTTTCTTCAACCCCCCAACCCCCAGCTACCCCTACTTTTTTCTTCAAATGGAAACATAAGGCATTAGGGGGCTCGTTGAAAAGCTTATAGAAAACCGAATCCAGCCATACCAAATAGACAAGTTTTATTTTTTCAATACCAAGGTTTTTAGGGTTGTATAAAACACCTACTTAAAGTACACCTAAATAAAATTTAATTATCTTCAGTGTTATCCTCCATGAATTTGCACAGAATAAAATAAAGAATTTGAAACTGTACCTATCACTGCTGACGCAAAAAAGCTATATTTTTTATGTTGCGTTTTTTTGGCACCACTTACTTGCCAGGCTTTCTGGTTAATTTTTCGCTTTAGTTGTAAATTGGAGTTCGAAACGTTATTATTGTGTCAAAATCAAGTTATTTACTGAAAGGCAACGCATCGAAATCTTGATATTGCTTTGATGTGGAGACAAAATAAGAAGTCAGGCTGAAGTGCGCGATTTATTTAATGCGAAATATTCCGAAAACCAAATCTCGCAAGGAGCAGTTAGTAAAATATTTCACAAAATTGAGGAACACGGTACAGTACAGACTTTGCCCAAAACTGGACGGGCACGTGCTTTGAATGAAGAAAAGAAATTAGACATTGCATTAGAACTTTTGGAAGACGATTATGATAGGCGATTACAATTTTGTGAGGAAATGATGAGACGGTGTGACAACAGTAATGGTTTTCAACGAGACGTACTTTTTTTGGATGAAGCTACGTTTTATTTAAATGGAGTGGTTAACAGGCACAATTATTGCTTTTGGTCCCAGGAAAATCCACACTGGACATGCGAATCGCATACGCAGCATCCACAGAAAGTTAATGTATGGGTAGGTATCATCAACAACAGAATCTTGGGCCCATTCATTTTGAAGAAAATCTTACTGCCGCACGCTACCTGGATTTCCTAACATTTGACCTGATACCTGCTCTATCTGTGATTTTCCCTCATGAAATTGATCCAGATATACCGAATGAAAGGATTTGGTTCCAACAAGATGGCGCTCCCTCACATTTTGGTATTGATGTTCGAAGATACTTAAATAAAATGTTTCCAAATCGCTGGAATGGTAGACGGGGTACAGTTGAATGGCCGCCAAGATCCCCCGACTTAACACCCCTGGATTATTTTTTTTGGGGATATTTGAAAGAAAGAGTCTACCAGTGCAGACCGGATAATATTGAGAATTTAAAGAACAAGATTAGGGCGGAGATGCATAATTTACCAGCTGAAGAATGCTATGGACAACTTTTACTATCGTCTTGGAGAATACCAAATAGTGAATGGAGGACATTTTCAGCATTTGCGACATTGAGTTTATTTTTGTAAATTATCTAGTTGTTTCAATTTCTAAATGAAAAAAAACTTGCTAATGAAAAAATGAAACTTGTCTATTTGGTATGGCTGGATTTAGTTTTCTATAAGCTTTTCAACGAGCCCCCTCATGCCTTATGTTTCCATTTGAAAAAAAAGTAGGGGTAGCTGGGGATTAGGGGGTTGAGGAAAAATTAATTATTATATAACCGAAAGTTGGGAAAAAATCAAAATCAGTTAACGTGTTTCGGCGTTTTTAAAAAAATTAACTCATTCAAAAGATATGAATTTTATTCCGTACTTCTGGCCATCCCTGTATAAGAGAAACAAATAAAAATCAAAGATCAAAGCTCCTTTGAATTTTTATATAATATAAAATATATACAGATGAATTTATCAAAATCCTGAACGGAAAGTATATTATTAATTATATGAAAAAATTGATGAAGAAAACTTTTATTTTAAACTATTTTCATTCATGTTCATAAATATTTACAAGCTACGTGACTGTCAAACTCAGGCGATCCAACGTTGCACGACAGATCCTGGTAATGAAAATTCCCTAAATCTTGGCGTCAGCAATAATAATGTTTACAATGAACAGTAACAAACTGTTACGAATACGCTCGAGATAATGCGATCGCTGATAGGTTGAATAGAATCTCGTAAAAAATTATACCAATCACAGCAGGTGAATCTGAACGTTGTGTTTTGATGTAATCTTGATCTTAATATTTTACCGGAATTTAATGGCCAACATGAAGAAATTAAAATAACTGTTTTCAAAAAAAAAAATTACTGCTCACGTGGCCTATAATCATTTCTGAAGGCTCTGTATATCAGCAATTAAAAGTGACAATTTTGAATATGATTTTGAGATGTCTATTTTATACATATTTTGTTATATTGCGTAGAAAGATCCACACTTATAGTAGGATCGTATACGATGCAAAGTAGAGTCGACCTTTTTTCAAAGGAAAATCGTGTCATCATTTTTAGGAGGCGTAAGATAAATCATTTCAAATTTAAAATGAAATTCAATGTAAAATCTGAAATACCGCCGCATACGCACTGTGTTCTGGTACTAGCTGTAGTCGCCCAGGTGCATCGAGTATACGAACTGGTCGGTTATAAGTCAAATACTAACCTGGCGAGCTTTGCCGTCAATTAGAGAGCGCTTCCAAAAAACAAGTAAACAACAGTGGCGCGTACAGAGGTAAAATGTAGTACATATGTGGAATTTAGGAAACAAATTGGATTTATATTAAATTACATTTAAAATAAATAGTTTATGAAAATAAAGAAATTTTTGTAGCAATAAGGGTGCCAGACCTGAACTGATTCCCTCGTCCCTTCATAATGTATAAAGAAATTATTCAATTTGTAAAACCCTTAAAAGCGTACTTCATTGATTCCCTTGACAGGCAATGATTTATTACTTTGCATCGAATATGATTCTACTATAGATTGAGAATTTGGCAAGCCATTTTATTAGTTATTGCTGCATGTGTGTGCCGGCCCAAATGTCGGTTTACATGAAACTGGTAAAGAAACACGTTAAATAAAATTTCGTGCAAGTTACTTACAAATGCTTATCGTCCAGAATGAACATTACTTGCTGGAGCATTTGATCAAAAGGAAAATTAGTCTTAACTACTTTATCTTAAGAAAGCCATAAAACGTGTTTGTTGAGAGTTAGGCACTGAGACCTGAGAGTTGAGTCCTGACACCTGAGAGTTGAGTCCTGACACATGAGAGTTGAGTTCTGACATCTGAGGGTTGAGATGTGATATCTTAGAATTGAAATGTGAGAATTGAGATATATGAGAGTTGAGATCTGACAGTTGGGATTTGAGAACTGAGATCTGTAAGTTGATATCCAAGAGTTGAAGTCTGAGCTGAAATCTAAGGCATGAGAACTGAGACCTCAGTTGAGATCTACAGTTGACATTTGAGAGTTGAAATTTGAAATCTTAGGGCTGAGATCTCAGAGTTGAGATCTGAGAAGATAATTGACGTCCGAGACTTGAAATTTGAGACCTTAGTCCTGATAATTGAAATTTGACATCTAAGAGTCGATATCTAACAGTTGAGATTTGAAAATCACGATCTGAGAGTTCATCTCCGAGTGTATGTGATATCTGAGTTGGGACTTGAGAGGTGAGGTTTGAGATTGAAAACATGAGAGTTGAGATATGAAAGTTGATAGCTGAAACCTGAGATGTGGGAGTAGGCATCTGAGAGTTGAAAAAGGAGATCTGCGATGAGATCTTAGAGATGAAATCTGAGAGACCACATCTGAGAGTTGAAATTTGAAATTTGGGATCTGAGATCATAAAATCGAAATGAGAGCTGATATCTAAGAGCTTAAATCTAAGTTGCTGAAATCTGAAAGTTGAGAACCCAGAAGGAGATCAGATTAAAAGTTTTTTAGACGTTGTAGTATAAACGTTTCTAATTTGTAAAGTGAATTCTCAACAAAATTTTATTATACATATATTTTTTTCCATTGAAATTTTAATACGTAAATTTTGCTTTTGAAATTAATTGACTCTAATCAATTCGAAGGTATGTTTATTGGTAAGTACAAGCTTTATTCACTCAATGATTATATTATAATTGACAGTCAAAATTGTCATTTTACAAGCATTTTTTTATGGATTCAAGAAAGTTGACTAACATTATTTTATCTCAATTATGAGCAAAGAATATATTATACGGGTACATCACTTGCTTATTCAATTTACAATTCAGTTGAAGTTCTACATAATTTGGTCCACTTATCAGGATTTTAATTTTAAGTTATTCAAATTCTATAAATTCAGACGATTTAGACCTTAATGGACTATAGAATTACTATGGCTATAATAATTATAATGTATTAAAAAAACATAAATAACTAAAAAGTATTATCTACCTACAGAAAAAGTAAATATCTAGCATTTAATATTTACAATAGTGGACAACCAGTAATACTCAAATGGTAATTGTATGTTGCAGTAATTACTGGACAAAGTATAAAAATATTTATACTCCTAACTGTTTTCAATACGGTTTCCACCATTGGTTATTAGTAAAAAATGAAAGTGATGCTTATAAAGTGATAGCAAAGCTAGAACTAAGAATTGAGACTAGCAATAACATTTGCTTAGGGGGTAAATATCTACTTCTACTTTAAGACTTTCCCTATATACCCGTATTACATTAAATTTAATTACTGAACTGATTATAGTTTTTCATTTGATTAAAACATAGCTGTGTTTTATTACCTTCAATTACTCAAGATGTGGGATTATGCAAACCTTTTTTGGCTTTGGCGACTTGGTTTTAAATTTCTAATCATATGCTTTATTTTCTATAAATTTCTGAGCTAATTATTCTTTATTAACTCGAAAATTAAGATCGGTCAGTCGGCTTGGGCAAAATTTACGTTGTGAAAGAAATTTAATATCATAACCATCTATTAGATTAGGATTAGTAATATGTTTATATATTTTTTTGGGCTATCGTTGCATTTCGGAGGTAGATTTCCGAGTTTCTCTGTGGATCATTTCAAGTTTAATCAATGTATCTAAATTTAAACCACACAACATGGTTTCATCCACAATTGTTTATATTCTGTATTAACTTCCTTGGAGCAAACTCATTACACGTCATCGAGAAATTAAAAGGTCCATAAGAAGTTGTTGTTATTGATTCTAACTGGTTTCTAACGCGTAACGGTGTCTTTAGATGCATCATCGCGTTTGTTTTGATGCAGGAAAACCTACTTATTCTTTATAGTTTAGCTTCGGCAGTCGCAGGAGGTCATGGCGAAACGCGGATATGATACTTTCAAATATGCTGTTACATCATACTTACCTATATGATGTTTTTAGGTGAGGTTTTCACTGCGTTATCCTCATAGCACGGTTAGATTCCGTACAAAATATTTGATGTGTACTGTTATCATTTTGAGTCAAGTAATAATAAACCGTGGAGAGAGTTGTTCTGGGAATTAATTTGCTTTTGGCGGTTGTTTATGTGTGTGGGAGGGAGGTGGCAATTCCTATTGGGAGGGTAGCTATATATATCGCAAATTATTGAAGATATATCATTGGATTCATGATTTTTACCTCTATTTAATAAAATAAAATGACGTCCATAAGAAAAAAGTTGACTATTGTTTTTCAAAAATTAATACCATTATAATCAGTAGGCTGTTTTATATACGGATTCCTTGGATGAAAATAAATCGATGACTTGGTCTAACCAAGTCATCAGTTACGGATAATTGAGTGTTTGGGGTATTCTAATTTAATTAAACTCAACTTTTTTTTTTACTAAATTTGCAATCGAATTAAATATTTTTTACGTTTAAGACCAGTTTATCCCCATTCAAGTCGACACTGCATTCAAAAGCTGTTATCTCACTACACAGTGGACTTATAGAGGTGGGTTGGTCTAAATTGTAAAAAATATTTGATTTAGCTCGAAATTTCACCAAAGAGTGAAGTTTACTTGTATCAGAATTTAGAATACTCTCAAATATTTGGTTGTTGGTAACTCAAGACTGCTCTGACTGCAGTGAAAAATGGGAATCAATTTTTTCATGCTTTCTAACGACATGCAACAAATGTATCTTTTTTGCATTAAATATAACAAAAAAAATCGAAGTTGCCTCAAAATCTCTACCAAGAAAAAACAAGGTATAAAAATAAAATACTAGGAATTTTTGCGGACCCTATGTTTTAGGTAAAAAAGTCCAAAAAGTTATAAAAAACGAAGTAAAAAAAGTCCGTTCCTTTTTAAGGCAGGAAAATTATACAAAGGTAACTTGATCTAAATCGGTTTATTTTCGGTCTCTTTTGAACCTTTAAAATATGGTCCATTGGCTTTCAGACATTCAGTATTTTATTTATTATTAATTCCATTAAGACTTTTGCCACCAAAATAACTTCGGCGCTACTTGTACTCTAATTTGAATAAAATTGTTAATTTATATTATTCAAGACGATCATTTCGAGTGTGCTTGTTATTTTCTCTTCTGAACAACAGGTGTCGCTGAATTAGACATCTACTTTCCTTAGTATGCAATGCAGTGCGTTTTCTTATTTATTTTTCAAATATAAAAATTTAATTCAAAAATAATTATTTTTTTGTTGTTTTGGGGAAGAATATAGGAAATGTCAGTATAAAAAAAATACCTGTTGATCTGCTTTAATAAAAATCGTTAATTTTCCTAGTTATTTAGTTGTGATCATAATATGATCATATATTATATGATCTACAATATACAGATGGAGTTGAAAAGAGTTGTTTTTCATTTTATATAAAAAAATAATTCTAGTGTAGGATCAAAATAATAAATTATTTAGTGACTTTTTATTTGACTTTTTGAATTAAATAATTCCAAATATTTGGAATTTTCACCACCAAGAACGGCCGTGACAACATTTTTAGCAGTAAGGCGATGTTTATCATTGTATTAGCTATGTCCTGTCCAAATTTAGTTAGTGCATCTAAAAAAATATGTCATTGCCGACCTTGCAACATGTAAAACATTTTTTAAAATTGTTATTTTTTAATAAAGTTGTGTATTTTATACAAAATATACTGATACATGCTTTTCCGAGGTGGCAAAAGTTCCCGTCAGTAGTTATTTATGTTAATAAATAAAATTTATTATGTTAATAAATAAAATTTATTATGTTAATAAATAAAATAAAAAAAAAACAATTTTCCAGTTGTACCACTATATTTTTTGCAAAATACGACCCAACTTTTTTGTAATTTGGTATTATTTATATTTTTTGGTTCGATAAGTGTCTTTACTGTTTTTTTTTCTTTATATTATGCGTCAACTACCTTTGGCCATGGAAATTTTATATACGTAACGTCGTTGGTATTTAAATTTATGAAATACATTAAAAAGGAACCGTTAAATTTGTGATGTATTGTCAATTTAACTCGACTTTATTTGAAAATCACTGAATATCTAGGCTCTTCGTAGCTCGCCTCTAAATCTGTCAAGTGTTTACAGCGGTGGTCATGGTTATCGTCTCGCAGCAGTGGAAGACGGTGTGGAAGTAGAGGGTATTTACTATGTGGCTTGGGCTCTGTTAATTTCTCCCGTAGCTAAATAGTAGTTATTCACTTTATTCTCTTATTAACCGTAATTTGTTTACGTGTGGTATAAAATGTTGTTACCTACGTATTATTTATTGTTTTTTAAAGATTGTAAAGGATTAAATTAGATTGTAAAGACAAACTAACTTGCAATGCTATGTACTGAAAAATCAATGGTGCGAGAACTACCAAACTTTAATGAATAAGTAATTGAAAAGTTTATTTCGGAGAACAGCAGAAGAATGAACTTTCATTATAAAAAATAACATATTTTAGCAATGGCATTTAAAATAAAACTGTCTAATATTTTATTTTTTTTCGATACCTTGTACCTCCTCCCTGGTCAAGAGCCGCCACTGGGTGTATATTGTAGTTTATTTTTTCCTATATATGTTTATATATTCGCCTTGTCAAAATAAATTTGGAAACTCATCTCGGGATACCTCATATTTCCTTCGAAGTAACCGTACTGTTCCCAATTCCGCTTGTACGAAGGTATACCCTTCACGCATCGCATCTCGAGTCGCGATCGCAGTGAAACTCGACATAGGCGACGACGGTCCCCATTCGACGAACGGTTTGAAAATCGGTCAGTGCGACTGTTGATCGCGAAGTGTATATTCCAGAGTGGCGGGCGTGACATAACACGTGGGATGCTTTCGGAAATTCGGGACTTAATCGTGGAGAAAGGGTGCCGCCAGTCTTTCAGTTAGCCGCTATTTCTCTACTACTCGCACAGCCCGCTTGATACGTCTTGTGATATTTGGCTGAAATCTTCAGGTGAGTGCCTGAACATCTAGTCTAGAATATGACTCGCTTTAAACCAGCTGATAGTAAACGGTTGTTTCTTCTTTTTGTCGTGATTGTTGAAAAGTAGTAAGCTTCAAAGATGGTAACCTAGGAAGCGCGCTGGTTGGCAATAACTGTCCTGTGTTTACTTAGCTTGAATTATTGAAATGCGAATGTAATTTGCTTAATAGTTTCGACGAAACCATTTTCATTTTTGGTCAGTGTTTATTCCATTTGATTACTACATAAATACATGATAAACTATTCAATTATTTATCCTTCCATAATTTTTGATACATTTATTGAAACTAAGGAGCTTGTCGACATATGATGTACTTGGGTTTTTTTCCAGTATTTTGTTTGTAGTTATTTTCAGACAGATGATCCCAGTTAGATGTTGATGTGTTAGGTACTTGGTTCATTTCTCCTAATGCAACAGATTGATACCGCATAAAGAAGCTTCATTAGATCTTACCCCGCGTTTCGTTGCAATCGATAATATCTGAATCGCAGATTCGTCTACTGTTAGAAAACTTTCTGTATGCTTCTGACTTGCAATCACCCTGTGTAAGTTATGTAATAACGAAGCGTTACCAGCACAAGGTAAACAGGTAAAATAATGCGGCAGTATAATACTTGGATTGCTGACCTCGCAACAAAAAATACAGTAGTGTAAGTGTTTACAAATTAATATAATGATTGCAGTTATTGTTGATATCATTTTACAGCTTATTGAGGATTGTGCAATAATCCGATTTTGTTTAGTCTCCACTTAATCGTGGGAAAACTATTTATTGTTATCTTAAATAGATATTACAGTTTAAAACGTGACTTCAAGTGAGTCCTGAATGGTAGATAAAAATTTGTAAAAGAATATAGAGTTTAAACTGAGTCAGCGCAGTCCATTGATAGCCGAATATATTGTTATTTTATTTACCGTAATACAATTTGTTAAAGGACTTTTGCTTACAATACCACCCGTTTATGTTAGAGGAAGGTTATTTATTTGTTGAATATTTTATATTCCTGTCATCATATTACCCGACTTGAAGAACCGAATATTAATGAATTAAGAAATACCACAATATATAAATGGAACCATACTAGATCCTTTACTGTCAATGTGTCAATGATTATGCTTAATTCTGAGAAAAACATGCGTACCTTAAAATATCAAAGTATTTTGTGATCGTTGAAAATTAATTACTATAAATTTATTCGTTGTTTAAGACAGGCTAACAATGATATGAAATTATATAATTCCTAAAATACTGTTTTTCCTATATACTGAAAAATATATGTTATTTCAGCAATTACACGCAATTCCTTTTCAAGTAACTTGCGTGTGTTTATCTATTAAACTAGCTCAGTCGATAGCGGCTGCTCTCACAGTTTAGATCGTGACTGTACTTGAATATCTGGGGATTTATTGTAGGTACCTACGTAAATATAATTATGTACAAAACAGGGATGGTGTTATTTTCTACCTACAGCCTATGTTTTGCCTATTTTGAGATTTTTATTCTTGTAATAGCTTCTATAGGCGTTCACGTAATTTTGTAGATATTGGAATAACAACAAACTACCAGATGGTTGTCGAACATCCAAAAGAGCTATTCGTAATTCAGGTCATAATTTAAATGCTATTCTATGGTTTTATAGTAATAGATAGTTTTGCAAACACGAGAAATGTCGTGTGTTACCCGTTTCTAAAGTTTACAGTTTAATATTTGTCATTTAAATACATATTAGGTTGCATAATTCAAGGTAGTTTACATTAGAAATATTTTTAACTACATGCTATCGGCTTTGTAAAAAACGCTATAGAATGTTTAAAGTTGTTATTGTTTTGAGCTTGGTTTTGAGCAAAAGCGTCGAATTACATAAGTACGGAAAACTAAGTGATTCACTCATTGCATTAATAATAATTGACCGCATTGTGGTCAGGAATTACAGTCACGAGTTCTGTACATTATTATTCTGGTGTCCCAAAATTCATGCAAGAAGTAAATTTTATTAAAAACGCAGGTTTTTAATTAAAAATTGTAAATTTTTTATTGGTTCTTGAGGTGTACAGTATAAGGTTATGTATGGAATAGCATATAGGGTAAATGGTCTCCATGGCTTTGCTGAACCAAACGCATTCTTTGGTCGAAAATTTCTAAGATCGTTTTCGCTCAATTTTCTCTTCCAAGGGGTGAGTGGTCGTGGGTTTGTTGGTATAAACCTCAGACTTCAAAATATCTCAAAGAAAAAAAGTCCAACGGCGTTAAATCGCACGATTTGAGCAGCCTATTCTGATCGCCAAATCGGGAAATTACACGACCAAGAAATGACTCATGCAGTAATTGAATTGCTTCTCGGCGTGTATGGTATGTGGCACCGTCTTGTTGGAACCACTTATCGTCTACATCCATATCTTGCAATTTAGGTACAAAAAACTGGATTATCATGTCGCGATAGCAAGCACCATTAACTGTTATTGTCTGACCAGCCACATTTCGAAGAATAATGGTCCGATGATGCTTCCAGTTCAAAATCCGCATCAAACAGTGACACATTGTGGATGCTTTTGTTTCTCAATAATCACGTGTGGATTTTGTGTGGAAGATGAATTAGTTCGCAAAATCAGCATCCACTTGTTGTTCCATAATCCATTCGATGAACTCTCTTCGCTCTGCGTGGTCAGTAGGATTTAGTTGCTGAGTCAATTGAACTTTGTAAGCACGAAGATCCAAATCTTTACAGTGAGAATACGCTCTAGAGAGCTTCTCGAAATGTCCAATTTTTGACCACGGTACCGAATTGATGTTCCTGGACTCTCAGCAACACTCTCACGAACTGCTTCGATGTTTTGTGTTGAACTACAGCCATAGTGTATTTTCCAATTAATCTCTTCACAGTTGATAAAGTTAAATCACTATTCCGACCATATTTTGTACGATACAGGGTCTAAGAACTGTAAGAAGATTGACTGCCATTACTGAACTGTCAAACGTCACGCTGTTTTTTTTTCCATTGGAAACACTTTACCGTACAAATGGTCCAAATTCAAATCTTGCATGAATTTTGGGACATCCGATATAAGTACGGAATATTATATAAGTGCGGAATATTGAGTGATTCACTAATTACATCAACAATTGACCGCGTTTGTGGTAAGTGAATGACAGTCACATGTCCTATACATTATTTTTAAGTGATCAAAGCGTAAGCATTTCCAAAAATAACCTTTATATGCATAACCGACGTTCTGTACCGTTCCGCATCTTGCATAGCTGATTTAATTTCTGAGAAATATTAAAGACATGATGTACAGCAATTGAGCAACAGTAATTATCTTAATTTTAATTAAATAGAATAGAGATAAACCACGGAAAATTTACGGACTTATTTTTAATTGGAGTATTTCTGACCGTTATTTTTGTGTTTGTTATTATTTTCTTATCTCTTATTTAATACCTATTGCGGTAATCTCATCCATTACACATGCAATTATCTGTTTGTGACAGAATTAATTAACGATTAGTAATATGTTCCACTGAAGGTCTTTTATGTAAATTTAACGGAAGAAAAACGATCCTTTTTGAAAATTTTTAAAAAAAGATTGGTAATATCTACTGAAACTGGAATCCTTCAGAAAAAGTAGTGAAAAATAAATTGAAACCTACCTAAACTTTGACATACAGGGTGTCCCGAAATTCATGCAACAAAATTTGGTCATAGATTCTTAAGACAAATTTAGGGTTTTACAGCCCCGTGAAATCTGCCCCTAAGGAGTCTTTTTTATATCTCAAAACCATGTACGAGAATCACTAAATTTGGTACACAGGGGTTTTATAACATGTGGAATCTCACAGTGCTACGTTTTTTGACGAGAAACCCCATTAAGACACTTTTTTGTGGGCCCCCTTGTCTTTGGAACCAGATAAATTTGGTAGCAAATTTATTTTTTTTTTTAATTATTAGTTTTCTAGAAAGCCATTGAATTTAGAAACTTTTTTGTCTCTTGATATTTGTTTCGTAAAACGCAATGTTTTTGAGGAAAATGGCGAATCACGATATGCATTCGATCACATTTTGACATTTTTCTCGAAAACATTGTGTTTTACGAAAAAAGTATAAAGCGAGGAAAAGGACCATATGTATAGTTTCGTTTACTGTACTACCACTATGATGGCTTAAAAACACTTTATCGTCACTATGATAGCATAAAAACTTGATTCACATATATTCAAACAAACTTTATGAAGTGGACTGTATATTTATATAATTAAAAATGTAAATTTTTAACAAAGTCGTGAGAGAAATTATCGATTAAAAAGAAGACATAAAACTTATCAAAATTGCTAATTAATTGACTGCAATATGTGTTTTATGTATTGTTTGAATTTTGCTAACTGTAATAATTCCTAAACATGGTTTATTGAAGAGGAATGCATAAAATAACAATTATACAGATGGTTGGTTGCGAAGATAGAATGTAATCACAGTTCTCAGTTGCTTGCCTTTTTTAAGAAAAATTTCCTAATTCTCCACCTACATCCCAAAGTACAATTAACAAAATTGAAAAGCAGTTTCGCAGAAATGGACGTGTACGGCAGATAAAAAGAAGCTTTCAATACAATGAGTAACATTACTAAAATAGATAAGCTATTTGGGTTTTCTTGCATGAATTTCGGGACACCCTGTATATTCGAGATATATTAATTCATTATTTTAATATTATTTGTAAATAAGATTATTCATATTGATTATTATCAATGCTTAATCAAAGTATTCAATGACATCTTTATGCCATTAATTTAATTTTGAGATCAGTGATACTACTTCAGATTTAAAAATAAATAAGCAAATATTAGTTATTCATAAGATGTCTGAAGTTGATATGATACATGTCTTAAGTACTATTTGGTAAAATTCATCGACTAAAGTACCTAAACCATCACGTATCTCCTTTAGGAAAAGTGACGGTTAATATAATTTTTAAA